AACCCCCAGACTCAGCTCGGGTCCTGAGGGGGACACCCAGGCTCACCCCAGGTTGCCAGGAGTGGGGATGGGGGAACCCGGGCTCATCCCAGGGGTGGGGATGGGGGAACCCGGGCTCATCCCACATTGCTGGGAGCGGGCATGGACACCCAGGCTCACCTCGGGATTTGGGGCAGGGGGACACCTCGTGTCTCTGGGATTTGCTGGGGGGGCACCCCGCATTCACAGAGTCCAGAGATGGAGGGCACACCCAGGCTGACCCCACATCCCTTAGAGCCAGGACTGGGGACACATCAGGCTCACCCCAAATCCCCAGGGACAGGGGCAGGGGGGACACCAGGCTGACCCCAAATCCCCAGGGGCAGGGATGGGGGCACCCCAGGCTGACCCCAGAGCCCAGGCTGACCCTGCTCTCCCTCCCTCCCTCCAGCCGTGGGCAAATCCACCTTCCTGAGGCTGCTGGCCGCCGCCTTCCCGCGCTGGCACCTGGTGACGGAGCCGGTGGCGCAGTGGCGCCGGGTGCCGGGGGCCGCTGGCACTGCCCAGGTAACGGGGGTGGCTCCGGCCACGCCCCGGCCCCAAATGTGCCCGCAGGTGTCCCAGGGCTGTGCCAACACCTGACCCCAATGGGTTTATGGGGTGTTAGGGGGGGTTCAGGGTGTGTTTTTAGGGTGGGTTTTGGGGAAGGGGTGCAGCATCTCCTGGGTTTGTGCTTCCCACATCCCTTCCCTGCCACAGAGCCCCCCGTTTTCCTGCGTCCTGTTTTATATTTATATTTCTATTTATAATCTATATTTCTATTTATAATCTATATTTATAATCTATATTTATATTTATACACAAATATTTATACAAATATAATTATAAAAATAATTATAATTTTCTATATTGTATAATATTTATATTTATAAAATGTATATAATATGTATATCTATAATATGTGTATCTATAAAAGGTACATAATATTTATATTTTCATATAAATATATATGAAATATAGAATAGAAATATAGAATATCTATATATAGAATATATATATTCTATATATAAATATATATTTATATATAGAATATATATATTCTATATATAAATATATATTTATAAAATGTGTATAATATTTATATTCAAGTAATTTACATATTTATTAATATACGGATCTATATATTTATAAATATAAGTATTTGTAAGATATTTTGTAAATATTTATGTTTATAAAGTAAGAACATAATTACATTCATACTTCATAAATACGAATATTTACAAAATATTTCCATCTATAAAACTGCAGCACACAAATGCATTGTGTGGATTTGATTTACAACATTCCTGTTGATAAAACGCCCGTGCAGGTGTTGGGGGGCAGTGCCAACCTGCTGCAGCTGATGTACCAGGAGCCCGCCCGCTGGTCCTTCACCTTCCAGAGCTTCTCGTGCCTGAGCCGCCTCAAGGCCGTGCTGGAGCCCCCCGAGGACAGCGGGGGGACCCCCGGCACCGCGCCCCCCGTGAGGGTCTTTGAGCGCTCGCTGTTCAGCGACAGGTACCCCAAAAAAGGGGCACAGGTACCCCAAAAAGGGGCAGGGGTACCCCAAAAATGGGGCACAGGTACCCCAAAAATGGGGCACAGGTACCCCAAAAAAGGGGCACAGGTACCCCAAAAAGGGGCACAGGTACCCCAAAAAGGGGCAGGGGTACCCCAAAAAAGGGGGTACAAGTACCCCAAAAAGGGAGGCACAGGTACCCCAAAAAGGGAGGCACAGGTACCCCAAAAATGGGCACAGGTACCCCAAAAAGGGGGCACGGGTACCCCAAAAAGGGGAGGCACAGGTACCCCAAAAAGGGGCACAAAAAAAACCCCCAAAAACCCCAGATCAGTGCCAAAACCCCCCTGGGCGCGGGAGCTGCCCTGTGCCCATCCCTGCCCAGGTACGTCTTTGCCAAGACCCTGCTGGAGGCCGGGCACCTGCAGCCCCTGGAGTGGGCGATCTACCAGGACTGGCACGAGCTGCTGCTGCGGCACCTGGCACCCCACGCCGCGCCCCACGGCTTCCTGTACCTGCGTGCCAGCCCCCAGGTGGGCACCGGGCATGGGGCTGCCCCGGGTGGGCACTGCACAGCCCACCGGTGGGCACGGGGCTGCCCCAGGTGGGCACTGGGCACTGCACAGCCCTCAGGTGGGCACCGGGCACCAGGGCTGCTCCAGCCTGGGGGCACCTGGAGTTCCACACCTGGGGGAGCAGGGCCGGCTTTATCCCATGGGTTTAGGATGGGGTTGAGGTTGGTTTTTAGGGTGCATTTTTGGGGTGTGTTTAGGGTGGGTTTTAGGATGGGTTTAGGGTGGGTTTAGGATAAATAGTACTTTTATAAAATATTTGATAAATATATTTTTCATTTTATACATTTGATACATATATTTATAAAACGTTCGAGAAATATATATTTATATTCTATATAATTTATATATTTGATAAATATATTTATCAAATTAATATCCAGAGAATATATATAATCTATTAGATAATGTATCTTATATCTTATAATCTTGATACATATCTTATAATCTTGATACATAATAAAGATTTTTACTTTTGTATATGACGTATTTTATCCCTTTTATCCCTATTTACACTCTTATAAAACGTTTTCCAAAGGGTGACATTTGGTTTTTCCTCTCCTCAGACATGCCTGGAGCGGCTGCGGCGGCGGGCGAGGAGCGAGGAGGGCGGGGTCCAGCTGGGCTACCTGGAGCAGCTCCATGGCCAGCACGAGCTGTGGCTGGTGGCCAAGGCCACCGAGTGAGTCCCAAAGTGTGCCCAGCTTTGGGGTGCCCTGGGTTTTGGGGTTTTTGGGTTTTTTTTTGGGTTTCTTTGAGGTTTAACCCCTCAAGGAGGGCAGGGTCCAGCTGGGCTACCTGGAGCAGCTCCATGGCCAGCACGAGCTGTGGCTGGTGGCCAAGGCCACCGAGTGAGTCCTGATGCGTGCCCAGCTTCGGGGTGCCCTGGGTTTTGGGGTTTTTTTTGAGGATTTTAGGGGTTTTTGGGGTGAAGCCCTCGCTGTCCCTCTCTCTGCAGGATCCACTGTGAGGCAGCGCGGCGCGCGCCCGTCCTGGTGCTGGACGTGGAGCAGGACTTTGAGCACGACCTGGCCAGGCAGGGCCTGCTCATGGCACAGGTGGGTGCCACAGGTGGGGTGGCACAGGTGGGGTGGGTGGCACTGCCCCGGTGCCATCCTGGTGCCACCCGAGTCCATTCCTACACTGCCCCAGTGCCAGGGCCATCCCAGTCCATCCCAGTTTCATCCCAGTTTCATCCCAGTTCCATCCCAGTACCACCTGTGCCCCATCCCGGTGCCATCCCGGTTCCATCCCAGTCCATCCCAGGGCCACCCCTGCCCCATCGCGGTGCCACCCCTGTGCCGCCCCTTCAGCCAGGCTGTCCTTGCAGGTGGAGGCCTTTGTGACATCCCTGGGTGCCCACTCTGTGCCATCCCATCCTGAACCCCTGAGCTCCGGGCAAGGGGCAGCGTCTGCCTGAAGACCCCGAGGACAGGGGACAGGGTCCCAAGGAGAGGAGACACAGTCCCGGGGACAGGGGACACGGTCCTGGGGACAGGGGACACAATCCTCAGGACAAAGGACAGGGTCCCAAGGAGAGGGGACATGGTCCAGAGGACAGGAGACACTACCCCGAGGACAAAGGACACGGTGCTGGGACAGGGGACACGATCCTGAGGACAAGGGACACGATCCTGGGGACAGGGGACACGGTCCTGAGGACAAGGGACACAATCCCAAGGACCTGGGACACGTCCTGGTCCCCAGTGTCCCCACAGCCCCTCTGTCCTGGCCAGAGCTGGATCCTCAGAGCCGTGTGGGGTTTTGGGGTCAGGATTCCCCCAGTCCTTGCTGTGACCCCCTGCCCCTCTTTGGGGTGGGTTTCCCATGGAAAATCCCGGTGTTCTACCCGACCCCCATCATTTGTTATTTTGTATTTAATTGTTTCCCTTAAATTGAGATCAAATCGTTGAGGAGCTGCTCCGTGTCTCGGGGTGGGGAGGGTTGGGGTGGCCCTAAGGGGACATGGGGGGACATTTTTCCCCCAGTTTTGGGGTGTTGTGATGGGGGGGATGGCCGTGCCCCATGGGTTTGGGGGAAAACCAAGGGGATTTGGGTCCTAAAAGAGGGGTGGGGATGGTGCTCAGCCTGGTGTGAGACCCTACAAAACACAGGGTGGGAGGGGTAGGATTGGGGTGGTGATTTGGGATTTGGGAGGATATGGAGCAGGAAATGGGGGATCTGGGGTAGGGGGGATTTGAGGGCTGTGGGGTGGGATATGGGGCAGGGAATGGGGGGTGTGGGATATGGGGGATTTGGGGGCTGTGGGATGGGATATGGAGCAGGAAATGGGGGATCTGGGATATGGGGGATTTGGGGGCTGTGGGATGGGGATTTCCCCCGGCAACCCCACAATAACGCAGAGCGAGACCCGCACAGACCCCGCTACCGACCCCACAAAAACAACAAACACCAGAGGACTCACAGCCCACGGCCCCACAAACCCAACGGGGTCGCACAGCCCTCGCCATCCCACAACAACCCTACAAAAACAACAACCCTGCAACAACCCTACAACAACCGTACAACAACCCTGCAACAACCCTACAACAACCCACCGCAGCCCCGCGCTCGGCCACCCTACGGCAGCAAAACCCCACAAAACTCCCACCCCCCTTTCTCCCCGTTACCCCCAAAGCCCCGGCGTTCTCCCTCTCCCCGTTACCCCCAAAGCCCCGAGGTTCTCCCTCTCCCCGTTATTCCCGTTCTCCCCGGAGAACGTTGCCCCCCGTTCCCCCCGGTGTTCTCCCCGTTCCCCCCAGGGTTCTCCCCCTCCCCATTTCCCCGTTCCCCCCGTTCCCTCCGGTGTTTCTCCCGTTCCCCCCCGGTGTTCTCCCCCATCCCGTTACCCCCGTTACCCCCGGGGTTCTCCCCCTCCCGTTCCCCCCGGATTTCTCCCCCTCCCGTTCTCCCCGGGGTTCCCCCCTCTGCCCCTCCCCGCTCCCCCCGTTACCCCCCGAGCCCCCGGCGCGGGCCCGGAGCCCCCCGTGCTCCCGGCGGGTCCCCCCGAGCGGGCGCTGCAGAACAAAGGAAGCAGCAGCAGAGCGGCGGCGGCGGCGGCGGCAGCAACGTGCGGCGGCTCCGGGCTCCCCTCGGGGTGCCCGCGACATCCCGAGCCCCTCGGGGTCCCCCCGAGCCCCCCCGGCCGCCGGCAGCGCGCTCAGCCCCGGCCCGAGCCCCGCTGCGAACGAGGGGGGGCGAACCCCTGGTGGTTTTTTGCCCGGTAAATTCATTTTTCTGTGGAAATTCGGGGGTTTTGGGGGAGGTGGAAAGTTGCCGGTGCGCGGCTGAAGTTGGGAAGTTGTGCGGGGTTGAGGCGCGGGGGGGGGGGAGGGAAGGAGGAAAAAGGAAAAAACAAAAAAAAGCAAAACGAGAGAGAAAAGGAAAATGAGGTTGGAAGAAAAGAAGGGGTGGGATTAAAAGCGGCGAGGCTGCACCCCGGTTTTGGGGGGGGCTGAGGGGTGGGGAGACAGCGGGGCCGCCCCCCCCGTGTGGAAATTAAAACTGGGGGTGACTCGCGGCTCTGTCCCGCAGAAGCCGCGGTGTCCAAGCCAGGGGGACGCGGTGACCCCGCCATGTCGCTGTCGCCGCCCTGGGGGCTCCGCCAGCCCGGCCCGGCCGCCCCCCCGGCCGGGGGGAGCCCCGAAATCTGACGCTGCCTCCCCGGGATGGAGATGGAGAGGCTGCGCAGGGAGGTGAGCGAGCCCCAGCTCCCCCTAACCCCGGACCCCCCTCTCGTTCCCACTTTTTGGGGTGATTTGTGATCCTAAACCCCATTCCCCCCTCTCGTCCCCACTTTTTGGGGTGATTTGTGACCCCAAACCCCTTCCCCCCCACTCAGCCCCACTTTTTGGGGTGATTTGTGATCCTAAACCCCATTCCCCCCTCTCGTCCCCACTTTTTGGGGTGATTTGTGACCCCAAACCCCTTCCCCCCCACTCAGCCCCACTTTTTGGGGTGATTTGTGACCCCAAACCCCGTCCCCCGTCTCGTCCCCACTTTTTGGGGTGATTTGTGACCCCTTTGTAGCGTCGCCGTCACTCGGAGGGGGTGGGCAGGGAAAGCCCCTCCTTGGTTGGTGGTGGTGGTTGGGTTTGGTTTTTTTTTTAAGGGTATTTCCGTGGGAAATGGGACTTTCTGCTGCCTTAAAGGCCACTCGGATGCTTTAAAACACCCCAGAAAAAAAAAAAAAAAAGAAAAAATTCATCTCGTCCCTGGGGCATCCCCAAAGCAGCGCCGCGGGACGGGCGGAACCCAACCCGACTTTAAACCGAATTCCTTGGGATTTCTCTCAAAACGCTGCACGGAACCCCCCCAAAATAAAGAGGGGGTGCCAAGGAAGGGGGAGGCAGAGCCGTGCCCGGGAGCTGAACGAGTTGCGGCGTTTTCTTCACCCAAAAAATTCCAACGCGCTCCTGGTCCGACCGGCCGGGGTGCTTGGAGCCAGGATTTCACATTTTGTGCCCACGCAAAAAAAAAAAAAAAAAAGGGGGGAGCTGCTCCAGCTTGGGGGGTCTGCAGCGTGAGAGGGAGAAACATCTGCTTGGCATTGATTTTGGTGCTTTTCCCCCTAAAAAAAACCCAAAATTCGGTGTCGCTTTGCGCTTTTTTTTGGTGTTTTCGGGGTGTGAGCGCCTCCGAGGTGGATGCAGGGGTGTTTTTCCCTCGGGAGGGTGGCACGGGTGGCATGGGGTGGCACGGACCTTGGCGCAGGTGGCTCGGCGAGGCACGGGAAGGACTTTGCCCTTGGCAGAAACGCGGCTGGAAACCGAAAAGCGGCCGGGAGGGTTTGTCCGCGCCGCTTTTCCAGGCAGGATCTGGGGGAAAAAGGGGAATTTTGGGGATGGCAGCGGGCACAGAGCCGGCATCCCCCGGTGCCCGTGGCCCGGGCCGGGTGTGCCGCGATTCCCACGGTGTGCCCGGAGTCTCTGCCTGCACCAGTTCCTCCAGTTCCTCCAGTTCCTCCCGCTCGGCCAGGCCCGCCTGGAGCTCCTCCTGTCCCCCCGGGGCTGATTTCCTGATTTTTCCCCCGATTTTCCCCATCCGTGAGGGTTTGGGACGGGAAGAAGGGGAGGATGAAGATGGCAGAGGTCAAGGCTCAGCTCTCAGAGCCTCTGCTGCCTTGCCGGGCGGCTCTGGGTGTCTTTCCCGCTCATTTGCATAACTAATCAACGTCTTGGGGAGCCGCTCATTAGCGCGGGCTGCCCCAGCCCAGGGAAGGATGCTCCGACCTGTCCCCTTCAGCTTTGGGGGATAAATCCTAAATAAACCCACAGAAAACCCCATTCCCAGCAGGAACGGGGGCACCAGCCCTGGACTCAGCTTTATCCAGCCCTGGACTCGGGTTTATCCAAGCTTGGACTCGGCTTTATCCAAGCCTTGACTAAGGTTTCTCCAAGCCTGGATTCGGGTTTATCCAAGCCCGGAACTCAAGTTTATCCAAGCCTAGATTTGGGTTTATCCAAACCTGGACTTGAGTTTATCCAAGCCTAGATTTGGGTTTATCCAAACCTGGACTTGGCTTTATCCAAAACTGGACTCAGATTTATCCAAGCCTTGACTCAGGTTTATCCAAGCCTGGACTCAGATTAATCCAAGCCAAATGACCGATGTTCCCCAATTAACATACCCAAATTAATGGACAACAATTAACGAGGTTCTCGGGGGTTAAATGGCAGGGAAATATTGGGGTGTAAAGAGCTTTCTGGGGGCTCCCCGGCTGCTTTTGGGGTTTTTGGCTGCTCCCCCTGCCTCAGTTTCCTGGGGGACAGTGACACAAAGGCCAGGGCTTGGGGGTCCTGTGACCCCATTTTGGGGTTGTGGGGTCGCGTGTCTGTGTCCCTGTCCTTGTCCCCCTAGTGTGCCATCTGCACCTCCCTCGTGTCCCCCCCTTGTGTCCCCACATCCCTCCGTGTCCCTCTCATGTCCCACTCATGTCCCCATATCCCCCCTGTGTCCCCTCCGTGTCCCCTTCATGTCCCTCTCATGTCCCCCCTCGTGTCCCCCTCATGTCCCCCCGTCCCTCCTCCGTGTCACCCCTCGCGTCCCCTTCATGTCCCCCTCCGTGTCCCTCTCGTGTCCCCACATTCCCCCGTGTCCCTCCTCATGTCCTCACCGTGTCCCCTTCGTGTCCCCCGCCATGTCCCTCTCATGTCCCCCCCCCCCGTGTCCCCACATCCCCCCGTGTCCCCCCCCGCGTCCCCCTCATGGCCCGCTCCTGCGCAGCGCAGGGAGCGGGCGGGCGGTGCCACTGCGTGGGGGAAAGGGGGGGGGCTGTGCGTGGGGGGGAAAGGAGGAGGAGGAGGAGGAGGAAGAAGGAGGAGGAAGGAGGAGGAGGAGGAGGAGGAAGGAGGGAAGAAGAAGAGGAGGAGGAGGGCAGGGGGGGAGCAGGGATGCGGCGCTCATTCCCCCCCCCGGCTGCAGCGGGGCGGCGGTGAGGGAGCGCGGAGGAGAGGGAGACAAGATGGCTTCCTCCTGAGGGCCGGCGCCGTGCGGGGCCGGCGGGGGCTGCGGGGCAGCGCGGGGGCAGCGGCGAGGTAAGCGCACCCCTTCTCCCCTCCAAAACACTCTCGTTGCACCCCCCCAAACCCTCCCCAAATAACCCCAGTCCCTCCTTGGGCTTGCGGGGCGGTGCGGGGGAGGTTAAAGACCCCCCCCCCCCGCGGTGCTGGCGGCCCCGCGGGGCCGAGAGGACAAAGCGGCGGGGCCTGGGGAGGGCCCCGCGCCCCCGCCCCCGTTTTGGGGCTGTTTTCCTTCTTTTATCCCTTTCCTTTCCCTCCAGCATCGCTTCGTGGTGGGGGGGGGGAAGGGGGGGTGGCGGTGTTTAGGGGTGGGAGGGCGATAAAACTTAAGGTGCACCCCCGTCCTCCCCCCCATATCGTCATTCCCCCGTGTGCTTTTTCGCCTTTATTAATCATTGTTTCCATTAAAACCATCGCGAAATGTGCTGAGCTCAGAGGTGCGGCGGGGTGATGCGAACAAGGGCGATGAGGCTCCCCGCCGTGACGTCACCGTGACGTCACCCGGGGCCGGTGGCAGCTGTCATCCCTCGCCGTGACGAAGCCCCGGGGTCCGGAGCGGGCATCCCCCCGCTTTCCGTCACGGCAGGACGGAGGTGGGCACAAAAAAACAGCTGCTCCTCCCCAGGGGGGTCTCAGCCACCCGCCCAGACGGTGATTTTGGTCATATCCCAGCGCGCTTTGGCAGTTTTGCCATCCCGAGCGGCTGCGGGCGTTGGTGGCTCCAAGGGACATCGCCGAGGTCAGGGTGGGGAGAGCGCTGCCAAAAAATCGAAGTTGGGAGCCGGCGGTGAGCGGCGTTTTTGGCACCACGTGTGGGGATGCTTCGGATCTCGCGGCCGGCGCGTGCGCCCGCCAACGCCGGAGCTGCCTCCGGATGCTGTGCAAAAAAAAAAACCAAAAAAAAACCCCCAAAAATCAGAAATCTCAGCTCGAGTCGGTGGCAGGTGCCGGGGCGGTGGGTTGTGCCGGGATGCGGTGAGCCCCGAGGTTGCATCATGCTGGGAAGGGCTGGGCAGCGCCGGAGCAGAGTCCTCCAGGGCGTTATGGTGGCCCCATAAAGGAGCCCAGCTCTTGGCCTTTGGCACCTCGTTAGCCTGACAAGGTTTGTTTTTCCGGATTGCCGGGCATGGACTCTTTTTTGCAGGTAATTAAGGGGGAAGGTGGCTCTGGTGGGGTCTGGAGAAGGCAAAAAGTGTGTGCGTCCCCAGGAATTTGGCCTTTCCTTTGATGGGCTTTGCTGGCCCAGCTGGGAGTGGGGATGGCAAAGTGGTGGCATGATGTCTCTGGGGCACATGGTTGTGCTCTGGCTCTGTGTCCCAAAAAGCCCTTTCTGGGGTGTCCCTGGTGCTGGCACACTGGGGGTGAGCTGTCCCCATGGCACTGGGGTCCCCAGTCCTTGTCCCCAAGGTGCCAGGGTCCTTGGTCCTGGTTCTGCATGTGCTGCAGTCACCAATTCTTGTCCCCATGGCATCAAGGTCCCCATTTCCCTTCCTGCATGTGCTGCAGTCCCCAGTTCTTGTCCTCCTGGGGTCCCTGGTGCCCTGCCTGCCTGTGCTGGGGTGCCTGGTCCCTGTCTCTGTGCCTTTGGGATATTCAGACTCCTTCCTGCATGTTCCAGTGTTCCCAGTCTCCATTCCCACACTGCTGGGATCCCTGCTCCCCATGCGTGTGACATGGGGTGCCCTGTCCCCATGGCAGTGTGTGTCCCTGTCCCCATGGCAGTGTGTGTCCCTGTCCCCGTGGCAGTGTGTGTCCCTGTCCCCATGGCTGTGTGTGTCCCTGTCCCCGTGGCAGTGTGTGTCCCTGTCCCCATGGCAGTGTGTGTCCCTGTCCCCGTGGCAGTGTGTGTCCCTGTCCCCATGGCAGTGTGTGTCCCTGTCCCCACAGCGTTGGGTTCCCTGTGGGAGTCTCCCAGTCCCTATCTCTGATCCATCAGGACACCCTTGGTTCCCTGTTTGTGTGCGCCAGTGTCCCCATCCCTATGGCAGCGGTGTCCCTTGTCCCCCAGCTGTGCGTGCTTGGCTCCCTGCTCCCTGTTCCTGCAGCACTGGCATTCCTGATCCCTTCCTGCCTGTGCAGGGTCCCTTGTCCCCATTCCCGTGCCATTGGGGTCCCTTGTCCCCATTCCCATGCCATTGGGGTCCCTTGTCCCCATTCCCCTTCCCCTGGGGTCTCTTCCTGCCTGTGCTGGACCCTTTGTGACATTGGGGTCCTTGGTCCCAGCCCGTGCCATCTTTCCCTGTCCCTGTGGCACTGGGTCCCCATTCCCTGTCCCTGCCGTGTCCCTGACTCCACGTGTGCTCAGGGTGTCCTCTCAAGGGGACGTCCTGAAGGGGCCAGCACCAAACCCAGTGTCCCTGTCCCCTCGCTGTCCCTGCTGCGGGCTGGGATGGGGGAGATGCCCCCAAGTCCCTCCTGGGGACACCCCCAGCTCCCTCCCGTGCCAGCGCTTTAATCTGGGTGCTTTGAGCTCTGTGTAGAAGGGTGCCAGACCGTTTCTGAGGATGAAAGAGCTTTTTTTATTTATCCCCCGCTCCCCGGGCCGGCATCCAAGGGGAGATGAAATGAAACGGGAAGAGGCTGGAGGTGAAACAGCTGCGATGGGCCCGTCCCCATTCCACATCTGCCTGCCACACCACTGCCAGCCCCAGCAACCCAGCTCAGCCCCTTTGCTCCTCTGTCCCGGGGCCAAAATCCCCTTTTGCTGGGCTGGGCTTTGCAGGCAGGGCTGTGGAGGCAGGGACAATGCAGCGTGTTTGTTTGCTACAGCTAAAATGGCAGTTCTTAAGGGGAAAGAAAGAGAGCGAGAGCCAAGTGCTTCTGCACATCCAGTCGCCGCATCTTTTGATTAAATGAGATTTTGCTGTCGAAGGGGGGAGCTGGGGACCACGAGCTCCTGAGCCTGCAGTTCCCATCGCAGCCAAACGAGGGGAAAAAAAAATTCTGAACCACCCCGAGCTTGAAAATGCTGTTTAAAAAAAAAAAGAAAAAGGATTGGAGCAAGTTGTAAATGCTGCAGTTGTCAGTGTGGAGGCCGTGGGGTGGCCGGAGGGTTTGTAACCACAGGGCTGGTGGCACAGTCTGCTCTGCTTCTCAGGCTGGCTGGAAAGGATGGAGAAACATCCCAGGAGCTGGGGTGGAGCAGGGAATGTGGGGCAGGGTGAGTGAGGGGCTCCAGAGATGGGGCAGGATTGGTGAGGGGATCCAGAGATGGGGCAGGGTGAGTGAGGGGCTCCAGAGGTGGGGCAGGATCAGTGAGGGGCTCCAGAGATGGGGCAGGGTGAGTGAGGGGCTCCAGAGATGGGGCAGGATTGGTGAGGGGCTCCAGAGATGGGGCAGGGTGAGTGAGGGGCTCCAGAGGTGGGGCAGGGTGAGTGAGGGGCTCCAGAGATGGGGCAGGGTGAGTGAGGGGCTCCAGAGGAACCCCTGGTGTTGCAATTAAAGCCTCTGCACTTAAGGCCGTTGCCTTGAAGCCACTGCAGTTAAAGCTCAGGCGCCTAAACCTGCACCAATTAACGCCGTTGCAATTAAAGGCCCAGCACTTAATTAACGCCATGGCTGCACCAGCCCTGCTGGCAGTGCCGGCTGCTCCCAGCTGTGCCAGGTGTCTCCATGAGCCTCCCTGGCTGGGATGGTTGGTGTTGGGACACACTGGGAACGGCCTGTCTGCCAACTGGGGAGCATTGGGAGCATACTGGGAGTGCACTGGGATCACACTGGGATCACACTGGGATCACACCTGCCCTGTGGATCTCCGTGCTCCCCTCTGGATGACACTGGGATCACACTAGGATTGTGCTGGGGTCATGCTGGGATCGCACTGGGATCACACTGGGATCGCACTGGGATCGCACTGGGATCTCACTGGGATCACGCCGCCCGCCCTGTGGATCTCCCTCCCCGCCTCCCCGCCGGCCCAGCACGCTGCCTGCCCGCACATGGCTTTTTTTAGGTTTACAAACACCACGGCCCCGTGCACGCGCCACTTCCTCCCCTCCTTTCCTCCTGCCTTCCCTGTGAGTCATCGGAGTCATCATCAGCCCCGGCACCACTGGGCTGGGGACACCGGAGGCGGCAGCGGCGCTTTCCCCCATGCTGCTGCTGACCCCAGCGAGGGGAAAAGTAAAAAAGGCAAAACCAGATTTCATTTTTCTGTTCTTTTACCTTTTGGCGCTTTCCCCCATGCTGCTGCTGACCCCAACTAGGAGTCGCGAAAAGAGGCAAAACCAGATTTCATTTTTCTGTTCTTTCACCATTCAGCACTTTCCTCCGTGGTGCTGCCGACCCCAGTGAGGTGGGGGAAAAGAAAAAGGAAAAACCAGATTTCATTTTCCTGTCCTCTCACTGTTCCATTTCCTCTTTTGGCGAGCGAGCTGGGGAGGATGAGGGTGGCTGCCGTCCCGGCTCGTGGGTGGTCTGTGCTGAGGTGTTTTTGGAGAGGACCACGGCGCGCTTGGAGGGTGGCAAGGCTTGAAACGTCACCGGCTTCCCCGGCGTCCTCGCCCTTTGTTGGTTGTGTCTCTGTGGCGTTGGATTTGCGCTGTGGCTTTGGGGGCGGCTGAGGAGAAGCTGGTGAGGCCCCAGGACGTTGGCAGAGGTGTTGGCAAAGGCTCCTGGGGGCCCGGCAGTGCCGAGGAGCAGCGGGGAGATGCCAAACCCCCGCGCTGAGCTCATGGGCTGAGGTGGCCCCGGTGACTCAGCAGAGCCGGCGCTGACTCAGCGGCCCCAGCCCCCGGGGAGGCAGTGGGATAGCGGGAGAGCTTGAAATTTTTGGGTAGAAAAAGGGATTTCTTTGTACAGCGTGCCACGCTTTGCCCATGCTGTGCTGCCAACACGTTTGCCTCGCCGTGCACCTTCCTCCAGCTTTGGGGAAAGGGATTTCATCCGAAGGGGCTGCGTCTCCCACCTGCCACGAGATGCTTTTCCCCACGGGGAGCGGGTCGTGGCGCGAAACCAGCTGTGGGTTTGGGAGGGGAGGCGTTTCCCTGCTCCCAGGCGGGGCAGGGCCCGGCTCCCACTCATCTCCCGGCTCCTGCCCGCCGGCCGTCGCGCCAGCAGCGTGCCCGTGCTTGCCAGGTGGGAGGGCAGCAGCACTCCTGCTTCTCCTCCTCCTCCTCCTCTTCCTCCTCCTGTGCTGAAGGTCGGGCTGTGCGCGGCGTGAGGAGCCCCGTGTCCCAGGGAGGGAGGGCACAGCAGCATCCCCCAGGTATGACGGGATGGGGATGGCATGGAGGGGAGCTGAGCACCCATGGGTGCTGGCTGGCACATCCCTGACTTGCACCTGGGGACCAGGAGGGTGCAGGGACCCCTCCTCTGCTCAAAGCCTTGGAAGCTGGGGTGCAGTTTGGTCAGGGCATGGCTGTGGAAAACCTTTCCTTCTCGCTATTCCAAATCTGGCTTTTCCCCCTGGTTTGCAGGGCAAAGCAGTTGGTGGGGTGGAAATGCCCCCACTGGGGGCTGGAGTGGCTAGGAGGGGATGGAGCCTGGTCCTGTGGGGAATGCTGGCATTGGGGGGCTGTGAAATTGGGCTGGAATGGGATGGGAAGCGCAGCTGGGCTGGGGGGCAGGTGAGGAGAGGCCCCAGGCCTTTCCCACACAGCTCATGTGCTTCCACTTCCTTCCCGTGTGTCCTTGTCCTTCCCTGCCCCTCTCACCTTCCTCCTGTCCCCCTTCTTCCCCTTGTTTCCCTTCCTCCCCATCCCCATCTTCCTTTTCTATCCCCCCTTCCCCTCCTTTCTCCCATTCCTTCTTCCCCCACCTTCCCTTTTTCACTTTTCTTCCCATTTCTCTTCATTCCCTTCTTTCCCTTCCCCTTCTCCTTCATCTCCTTCCTCTTTGCCTTCATCTCCTTCCCCATATTCTCCTTCCACTTCCCTCTTCCTCTTCCTCTTTTCCTTCCTCTTCCTCCTCCCCTTCCTCTTTCCTTCCTCCCCCTCTCCATGCCCTCCCCGGTGTCGGAGCAGGCTCGGTGATTCAGCCTTGCCAATCTGGGAGCCGGCACGAGGGCAGCCAGCTGTGTTGAAGGAAAAAACCGCTTCGAGAAACAAAAATAGTCCCGTGGGGTGTTTCTTTTTTTTCTTTTTTTTTTTTTTTTTCTCCTTTTTTTCCCTTTCAAGAGCTCGGCTCCGGGCCGGGGCCGGCAGCTGTGCCGTGCCAAGCCTTTCCCTCTGCCTGTGCCAACTGGCAGCTCCCAGGCAGGGAAGGCTCAGCAGCAGCAGCAGCAGCAGCAGCCGTGCTGGGAGCACACGGCGTGGGGCACTCGGCTTCCCAAAAACTGCTCTGCTGGGAGCGGCCACTGGGAGCAGCTGCCGAGGCAGGGCTGAGCATCCCCGGGTGCTCCCATCCTGCTCCAGGTGTCCCTGCCCTGCAGCTGTCAGTGTGGAGGCCGTGGGGTGGCCGGAGGGTTTGTCACCACAGGGCTGGTGGCACAGTCTGCTCTGCTCCTCAGGCTGGCTGGAAAGGATGGAGAAACATCCCAGGAGCTGGGGTGGAGCAGGGAATGTGGGGCAGGGTGAGTGAGGGGCTCCAGAGATGGGGCAGGGTGAGTGAGGGGCTCCAGAGGTGGGACAGGGTGAGGGAGGGGCTCCAGAGGTTCTGGAGTTCTGAGGTTCTGCTCTGAGTTTTCCTGCTCCAGGTGTCCCTGCTCTGTGTTCCTGCTCCAGGTGTCCCTGCTCCCTGCCCCTGCTCTGTGTTCCTGCTCCGAGTGTCTCCACTCTGTGTCCCTGCCCTGAGTGTCCCTGTTCTGTGTCCCTGCTCCCAGTTTTCCTGCTCCCTGTCCCTGCTCCCAATTTTCCTGCTCCGTGTCCCTGCCCCAAGTGTCCTGACCCCAAGCATCTTCACCCCGAGCATTCCAACCCCAAGCCTTCCTGCTTTGAACATCCCCTTGCCGAGCATTCCTGATCCCAAAATCCTCACCCCAAACACCCCAACCCCAAGCATCCCCACTCTTGGGTACTCCCACCCTGAGCCTCCATTCCCCAGCCATCCTGACCCCAAACATCCCCACCTCAAGCTTCCCTTCCAAAAGGGAAAACACTTTTCCTGGGGGAAATGAGATGGTTGGAGGTGGGAACAAATCTTTTTTCCACCTTAAAAACAATCCTCCATCTCCCTGGGAAGCCCCCAGTACTGGTGGGATGGGGAGTGGGATTCTATCACATTCCAGCTCGTCATACCCCAAAGGAGGAGGAAAAGGGGGTGCAGTGGTTGCGGGGTGGAAGGGGCCGTGCCCATGGGGGTCCCCAGAAGTGCTCCTGGGACTGGAGTGGAGCAGAGCCGGGTTTCCCGCAGCGGGGATCAGCTCAGCTCAGCTCCCTGGCTTACTCCGGCTTTTCTCCGGGCTAAACGAGGACAGGAGCGGCTCAGCCCCGGCGCCGGGGTCAGCCGGGGCCACGGAAACAGCTCTGGAAACAGGGCGGGAGAGGGGCGGGACCAGGGCGGGTACCCCGGCCGCCAGGGGGGACCCGGGGGCTCTCGCTCAGCCCTCGGCCTTCCCCCGTTTCCTTGAATTCCCCTTTCAGGGTGGCGACTTGGATTTGGGTCATCCGCTCCTCTGCGGCCTGCCTCCCGCTGCTCCTCTCCCTTCATCCCCTCCCGCATCTCCTTCCTCTTTGCCTTCATCTCCTTCCCCATCTTCCCCTTCCCCTTCTCTCTTCTCCTTCCTCTTTCCCTTCCTCTGCCTCTCCCCTCTTCCCCACAGCTGGAGGCTGTGGAGGGATTGGGATGGGAAGGGTTCCCCCATCTCTGGGCTCCGGTGGTGCTCCCAGAGCGTGGCGTGATCCCAGCAGCATTCCCGTGCCTGGCACTGCCCTTGGGCTGCTATTGCAGGGTCTGCAGCGCTCAGGGCTTCCCCCGGCGGTGCCCCAAAGCCACCATCCCAAGGGAGGAGGATCCCCGGGGTGGGTGCCAGAGGAGGAAACCACAGCCCGAGAGCCGGGGCTGGCCGGGCTCCACCGCAGCGGGGCCGGCAGCCAAAGCTCCCTCTTGGCCGGCCCGTGCTGCCGGCTGGCAGCGGCTGCTGCTGACCTGCAGAGCTCCCGGCCGTGCCCTCGCTGCAGCCCCGGCACACGCTGCCCCCGGAGCCACCCCGGTGTCCCCAGAGCCCCCAGGAAGGGCTCAGCGTTGCCACCAAGCTTCCTCTGGCCCCCAGATTCTCCACTTTTATTCAAATGGTGTGGTTTTTGCATGGGATGACACCAAGCTCTGTGTGTGCTCCGTTCTGTGCAGCTCCCGACCCCGGTCCGTCCATCCGTCCATCCATCCATCCATCCATCCATCCATCCATCCATCCATCCATCCATCCATCCATCCATCCCTCCATCCATCCATCCATCCCTCCGTCCATCCATCTCTCCATCTGTCTGTCCATCCATCTCTCTGTCTGTCCATCTATCCCTCCATCCATCCGTCCGTCCATCCCTCCCTCCGTCCGTCCATGCTTCCGTCCGTCCATCCCTCCCTCCGTCCGTCCATCCATCCGTCTGTCCATCCCTCCATCCGCCTGTCCCTCCATCCCCCCCTTCCTCCGTCCATCCCTCCGTCCGTCTGTCTGTCCCTCCATCCCTCCGTCCCTCCGTCCATCCCTCCGTCCGTCTGTCCCTCCATCCCTCCGTCGGTCCGTCCGTCTGTCCGCCGCCGGCCGGTCCGTACGTGCGCGCGGCGCGGGCGCCAATGGCTCCTGCAGCTGCTCTGGCAGGGGGCGGGGAGGGCCGGGGCTCCCGGTGCTCCCGCGGGCCCCGCTCGCTCTTTCCCGCCCCGGACGGTGCCGGTGCCGCCGCCGCCGCCGCCCGCGGCTTCGCCTCCCGCCCCCGCAGCCGTAAGTGCCGCCCGGCCGGAGGCGGCCCCGAGCCCGCGCCGCGATCCGAGCACTCCGGGCTGTTCCCAGGGAGCGCAGCCCAGGCTGGAACCGCTCCAAGCCGGCCTCAGCCTCTGTGTGGCTGATTTTTGTTGTTTTTTGGGTTTTTTTTTTTCCCTTCCTTCTCTCTGTTTACGGCATTTTAACTGGGGGGCATTTAAAAAGGGAGGAAAAACGGATTTAAAAAAAAAAAAAAGTTGTTGTCCTCACGGGGATTTTTTCCCCTTTTGTAGCACCCGGAGGATACAGAAGGGGATGTGCTTAACCCCAGCCGTATCGCTTGGTTTTCTCTTTATTTTAATTTATCTCCTCCCCTCCCCAGCTTTTCTCCTTTCTCGGGGTGAATGGAAGGAGGTTCGGGAGCTCTGGGAAAACTTTTCCGAGGAAAATGAGCTGAGGGCAGAGGAATTGGTGCCCAGGGCATTGAGGGGGGGTTGCTGCGGTGCAGCCGGAGTGCGTCGGGATGGGGAGGGGGCATCGATTTTTGCGTCTTTACATCTCCCAGCCAGCAGGGCTGGAACGAAAGGAGCTGGATGGGACGGCCAGGAAAAAAATCGTTTTATATATATATATACATGTATATATGTGTATATGTGAGTGAAGTTTTATTCCTCCACTGATTTAGGAGGGTTGTGGCTTTCGGGTTAACCCTTTAGGAGCAGCAGGGCGATGTTTGCTCCTCCCTTCAGTTCACACCATGAACTATTCTCCTACATTCCCAGCCCGGTTCCATAACCCAGTTTATGGGCAGGAGCAGCCTGAGGTGCCTCCCTGGCCCTGCGGCTGATTTCTGGGGCTTCCCCTGCCCTTTCCCCGCGGCTTCTCCCCTGGGCAAGCTCTTGGGGCCGCTCCCCACCCGGAGCAGAGCAGGTTTGCCGTCATTTCCCTGGGCTGGCGACCCTTGGGGCACCGGAGCCCTTGAGAGGGGGGGTTCAGGGCGTTTATCTCCCCGGCGCTTGGGAAAATCCCCTTCGGCTGGGCAGGAGGAGGAAGATGAGGGCGGAGGAAGCAGGGGCGAGGCCTTTCCCTGCTGGGTGTGCGAAGGAGAGCGGAGGCGTGCGTGCTGTGCTGTCCCCACCCTGCCCTTGCTGCGCTTTCTCCCCGGACCTGCCGGACCGGTCCCATGGCCCCGAAGGCAGCGGAGCCCCCCTAAAAACCCTCTAAAAACACCACGGGGTGATGCTGTACCAGCGCCGCGCCGCCCTGGGGGATTTCTCCGCTGGGGAAAAGGGGTTTTTGGACAGAGTCGTGCTGGGAGTGGTTCCTCCGAGGTTTCGCCGGAGTCAGCAGCGTTCTTATCTCTGCAGCGTAGCGTTCTTATCTCTGCAGCGTGGCTCTGCTCACGCTCTCACAGCCAAGGGTGAAGGACTCTGTGCCGAGGCCGTGGTGCCTGAAGGGTTGAGGCAGCCACACACGGACACTTTCAACACTCGGAGCCGTAACTTTGTATTTAACTTTGTATTTAACTTGGTGTTTAACTTTGTATTTCGGCTCTCCCCGCCAATCTGAGCTGCGGATCCTTCCCACGGGCCGCTGGCGGCCCCATCCAGAGGCAGGAAGCTCTGCCCACAGCCTCTGCTTGCTTTGGCATGGTTTTTCCAGTGAACTCTGCTGTATTTTTAGCTTGCCGGAAGCTGCCCTTGCTTATCAGCAAACGGTGCCGAAATCCCCAGTGCCGAGGTGGGGCAGCAGCACGGAGAGCAGAACGACCCCTTCCACCCCTGGCAGAACCCTTGGGGGGCCCTAACCAGGGTGTTGGGCTCCTGGGTTGCCACCAGGTGGGTTTGGTGTGTCCCTGGCACGGCCCCGGGAGCCCTGGCCGGCCGTGTTGATGCAGACACGGGGTTATTTGAGGTGAAGCAGCCCCTGGCACCGGCGTAGCCAACTCGGCGGCTTCCTGCCGTGCCGCGGCCCGCGGCGAAGGACGGCTGCTCCCGGCCGCGATGTTCGCTCCTGGCACGGCTCCAAAACCCCCCTCTCCTCCTCGTGCTGCTGCCTTCAGCGCGGGCAAACGGTGCCACCGCAGCCAGGGACACCCTGCCTGCCCTGCCCTCGGCGGGTGGTGGAAATCCCGAACGGTCTCTGAGTGATTTCGAAAGCAAGTGGCGGGGTGGGGACGTGGGTGGCAGGGTGGAAAGTGGCCGCCCTCTGAGCCCAGCCGAGCTGCTCCTCACTCAGCCAGCCGGGCAGAACCCACGTGGCTCATCTGCATCTTCAACCCCGCAGTCAGAAAATGAGATGGGGAAAGGGGAACTGAAGGAAACAGAGGGGAAGAATAGGGTTGGAGCACATAGGGATGCTCACGTCTCTTCTCTGTCCCTCCTCACAGACAGGTTCGGCGGGCGACGCGGTTGATGGACCCAGCAGAAGCCAAATGGAAGAAGGGCCAATTAATTATGTGGAAGAAAGGCGGCTGAAGGAGGGCAGCGGGCTCAGCCTGGTGAATGGGGGCCGGCCGGAGGCGGGGGGTCCCGTGCTGATGGAGCCCAGCGGGTGGTCGCCGAGCCAGCCGCCCGCCACTGCCAAAGCCCACTTGGAAGACGTCCGGAACCTGGTGGCCTTCTCAGCAGTGGCCGAGGCGGTTTCCTCCTACCGGCTCCCACCGCCGGCATCGCCGTCGCTGCTCTACGAGAAGTTCGACTCGGAGATGAGCCGGGGCGGGCTGGGCACGGCGGACGGGGTGCCACGAGGAGAGGACCTGCACGCCCTCAAGGCCGCCCTGGCTTTGGCCAAGCACGGTGTGAAGCCCCCCAACTGCAACTGCGACGGCCCCGAGTGCCCCGACTACCTGGAATGGCTGGAGCAGAAGATCAAGACGGCTCTCGGAGAAGAGCTGGCGTCACCGCGGCCCCACGCCGCCGCCATCCCCCCGCCTCCTCCCCCAGAAGGTGCTATCGACCCCCAGCCGGTGCCTGAGGCTGCGGAGCCGTGCCCGCCCGACAGCCTCCCCTTTTCCCAGAGCGCGCTGACCATCGCCAAGGAGAAGAACATCAGCCTGCAGACCGCCATAGCCATCGAGGCCCTCACGCAGCTCTCGGCCGCCCTGCCCCAGCCCGCGGGCGATGGGCAGCCCCCGCCGCCGCCGCCCCCCGCCGTCCCCTTCGGCCCCGGCCCCCTCGGCCCGCCGGGGGCCGCGTGGCAGCGAGGGGACGAGCCCCGTTACCCGCCGGAGCCCGGAGCGGCACCTGAGCCATTTTTCGGCGCGGCGCCTCCGCGGGGGAACTTCGCGGCCACCTGGGGGCTGGAGGCCGAGGGGGCAGCGGGGGCTGGAGACCCCATGGCAGAGCTGGAGCAGCTGCTGGGCAACGCTGACGACTACATCAAGGCGGCTTTCAAGAGACCCGAAGCGACGGCCGGCAAAGTGACAGCCCCCAAAGCGGAACCCCCCGAGCGAGCACCCAGCAAAGAGGCACCGGGCGGCCCCCGCTTGCCGCCGGCGCCACCGGAGCCCGACCTGCACAAGAAGACGCAGCTGGTCCTGCAGCAGCATCTCCACCACAAGCGCAGCCTCTTCCTCGAGCAAAGCCTGGCAGCAGCAGCAGCAGCGGCACCCCCGGACCGGCCGAGCGGCTGGTGGGCTCCCGGCGCCCCCGCCGCACCCCCCAAGCCCTTCGAGAAGCAGCCCAAAGAGAAGAAGAAGAAAACGCCGCCCGAAAAGCCCCCGCCGGCCAAACCTCTCCGCAAGCAAGTGCAGATCAAGAAGGCGAAGCAGAAGGACTCGCAGCCGCTCTTCCCTCCCCTCTGGCAGATCAGCCTGGAGGGGTTTCGGGCGCCCGCCGAACCCCCCGCCGAACCCCCCGCCGAAGAGATGCAAACGGAGCCGCCGCCGCCGCCGGCCTTCCCGCACCAGCCTCTTGCACTACCCCTGCCCGCTGCATGCCCCCCGCCACCAAACCCCCTGGACGGCGTCCCCCCGGCTCCCGACTCTCAGGAAAGGGGTGCCCCCGGGGGGGGCCCCCAAATTCACTCGGCGCCGGCGGGCTCGACTGGCTCGGAGGAAGCGCCGGCCGCCCCCCCGCCGGCCGGCTCAGCTCCCATCATGGTGGATGACAAGTTGGAAGAGCTCATCCGACAATTTGAAGCCGAATTTGGGGAGAATTTCAACCTGCCGCCCCCCGAGACGCCTGCCCCGCTCGCCCCCGGGGCTGCCGAGCTGCCGGGGGGGACAGCACCAGCTCCACAAGGGTCCCCCACCGTGGCCACCACCGCGGCCACCGCCCCGGCTGCCAGCAGCGCTCCCCAAGCCGGACCCAAAAGCGTCTCTCCAGGGAAGGGGCCGCTGTCAGAGCCACCCTTCACTGCCCGCTCCCCCAAACAGATCAAAATCGAGTCTTCTGGTGCTATCACCGTGGTGTCTACCACGTGTTTTTACTCTGAGGAAAGCCAAAACCCAGACGTGGACGACGTCGACAGAACACCCACCAAGGACGAGGTGCCGCTGACGCCCACCCTGAGCGGCTTCTTGGAGTCTCCGCTGAAATACCTGGACACGCCGACCAAAAGCCTCCTGGACACCCCTGCCAAGAGGGCCCAGGCTGAATTCCCCACCTGTGACTGTGTTGGTGAGCCAGCAGCCGGGCTGGGGGGGCGTGGGGAGGGTGGCAGAGGTGGCTTTGCAGGGTGGGAAGGTAACAGAACCCATGGCATCAGCAAAGCCCTGATTTCTGGGGAGGTAAGGCCCTCACGTGGTGAAACCCCAGTGCTGTGGAGCTCCCGTTTGGTTTCTCTCCTCCTCTCTTGTTTTTACAGTTAGATGGAAATGGCTGTGTCACCATGGGGGTGGCACTGGTGTCACTGGCTGTGCCGGGGTGGGGGCGTTGGATGAGCAGCAAAACCAAAGGGCTGTTGGGTTTTCCTTCTATTTAACCTTAACCAGCTGAATCCATGGTGGTGCCAAAACCCACCTAAACTCCCTCTCACCTGGTTATCCCTGGTGTTTTCAGCCAAATTAGCTGGTTCAGGTTGCTTTGAGTAACCCAAACTTTGGTTTGATGCTTGTGCTTATCACTTACTGCTGGGATGCTGCCTTGTTCACTGGCCAATCCCACCGGGATGCATTGAAAAATCCCCAAACTCTTGGATTTGTGAGGTTTTTTTGTGGTTATTTTTGGTGCGCATTGGCATTTGTTAGACTTCGCAGCAAGTGCTAGAGAATTCCTACCCAGTCCTTCCAGTCCACCTCCATCCGAGCGTGAGGAGCTGAATATTCCCTCCCCAGTATTTAGACTGGACCTTTGTGCTCCCCTGGGAGCAGCTGGATGAGGATTTTGGGGGGCACCCACCCAGAGGATGCCCTGGGCTATAAGCACAGGCTGTGATTTATTAGCGGGGCTTATGATTATTTATTTATTTGCTTGTGAATGGCAGCAGGAACGAGCCCAGACTCCATGGAGAGGAGGGAAAGCTTTCCTGAAGCCACTCAAACCCAGCCTCGGAGTTTGCCAGGAAAAGATTTGTTTAGGGGCTGGGAGAGGGGGGATTCCCCCCCTTCCCCTTCTCTGTTTTCTCAGGGAGAAAGAAATGCAGCAGGAGAGGGCTCGGTGCTTTATTGGGCGCGGGAGCTGTTGGAGGCTGTAATAAAATGAGCTTTTTCCAAGCCTCCCATATTGATCCCTGTCTGGACAGCTGCAGCCCAGCTGAGCCCGGCTTTCTCCTCAGCCTGGCTCCCGGCCAGCTGGACATGATGGGAATGAAAATCAGGCTGGTGAGAGCAGAGGGATGCAAACACAGGCCAGCCCTGGCTGTGGTGCAGGGCACATCCCAGCTGGTGGTTTTGGAGCATCCCTGTGTGCTGGGGCTGCTTGGGGCATCCATCACTTCCCACCCCAGCTCCTTCATGCCCTGAAAGCCCCCAGGGGTTTGCTGTGTGCAGGGCTGTAGCTCAATGTCCTTCTCCTGAAGCCCCAGGACCCTCTTCTTGCTGCCCAAGGATCCTCCTGGAGCCGCAGGATCCTCTTCTTGATGCCCCAGGATCCTCCTGGAGTTCCAGCATCCATCTCCTGTAACTCCAGGATCCTTCTGTAGCTCCAGGATCCTTTCCTTGCAGCCCCCAAGATCCTCCTGCAGCCCAAACCCTTCTCCCATAGCCCAAACCCCTGAAGCAGGCAGGAAGAGCTTCCTGCCCCCAAAATCATCCCATGATGGCAGCATCCAGTTGGGCCAGTGCCTGTGAGAGGTTCTGGACAGGAGCCCTGGGTGGGAGCAGGGTGAGGAGGGGGTTTGGGGTCTACATCTCCCACCCAGCAGAGCCCCAGTGGTCAGAGCAGATTCCCTGGATGGAGCTGTGGTCACTGCCAAGCACTGCCAGGGTGCTTCCAAGGGCTGTGGCTCCTCAGAGGGTTTTTGGGTCCCAAAAACGGGGTGGGTGTTGATGGGTGAGGGTTCTCCAGCAGCGTTTCAGTGCTGGCAGAACCTTCCAAAGCAGGGAACAAGGAGTTGCTGTTAACAAAGCCTTGACTTTTGGTGCAGAAGAGCTCGGATTGAGGGGATTTGGGTGTTTGGAATCCTTCAGGGCAGCCAGCAAAGGGTGCAAACCCCAAATCTCTGTTCCCCTCCTCTCTCTGCAGAGCAAATCGTGGAGAAGGATGAGGGGCCCTATTACACCCACCTGGGCTCGGGGCCCACCGTGGCCTCCATCAGGGAGCTCATGGAGGAGAGGTAAGAGCCCCTCAGTGCGGGGCTGGGGTCCTGTCAGGGGAGTGGGGACTTGAGAGAGTGACTGGGGACTTGTGAGAGTGAGTGGAGTCCAGTCAAGGACAGTGGGGTCCTGTCAGGGAAGTGGGGATTTGTGAGGGTGCCTGGGGGCTCCTGAGGGTGCCTGGGGGCTCCTGAGGGGCCCATGAAGGCCAGTGGGACTGGGTGTGACCCTGCCCTGGCAGGTATGGTGAGAAGGGCAAGGCCATCCGCATCGAGAAGGTCATCTACACGGGCAAGGAGGGCAAGAGCTCCCGGGGCTGCCCCATCGCCAAGTGGGTGAGTGCCTCTCGTCCCCAGGCTCGTCCCCTCTGTGCCCCTCGGGGCTCCCCACACTTGGCACTGGGGAATGGTGTGTCCAGAGCCAGCAGCTCTCCCAGACTGCCAAAATCCATGGGGTGAAGGCAGCCATGGGAGCATGCCCAGCTCTGCCCTCCCCACCCCACAGGGCACTGGGGAAGGCATGCAGGGCATAGCCCAGATCCTTCTGCTATAGCCCAGATCTTTCTCCCGTACCCCAAATCCTTCTCCCATACCCCATATCCTTCTGCCATATCCCAAACCCATCTCCCATAGCCCAAATCCTTCTCCTGTAGCCCAAATCCCTCTCCTGTAGCCCCGCTTATCCTCCTGCCTCTCCCCCATGCAGCAGCTCCTTCCTGGCACGGGCTCAGCCAGCTCAGGGCACCCCAGGGCTTGTGGGATTCCCCATGCCGTGAGGTCCGAGCCAGCCCCTCTCGTTCCAGGTGATCCGCAGACACAACCAGGAGGAGAAGCTGCTGTGCCTGGTGCGGCACCGCGCCGGCCACCACTGCCAGAACGCCGTCATCATCATCCTCATCCTGGCCTGGGAGGGCATCCCCCGCACGCTGGGGGACACGCTCTACCAGGAGCTCACCGACACCCTCACCAAGTACGGCAACCCCACCAGCCGCCGCTGCGGCCTCAACGACGAGTGAGTCCCACCGGCAGCGCGCCTGGGGGGCAGATGGGGTGGGAATGGGGTGTGGGATATGGGGTATGGGGTACGGGAATGGGGTATGGGATGGGGGGACGGGATATAAGGTACAGGATATGGGGTACAGAAATGGGGTATGGGATATGGGGTATGGGGTATGGGAATGGGGTATGGGATATCAGGTACGGGATATAAGGTACAGGAATGGGGTATGGGATATGGGGTACGGGATATGGGGTATGGGAACAGGCTGTGGGAATGGGATACAGGAATGGGATGCGGGAATGGGATGCAGGAATAGGATGCAGAAATTGGTTGCGGGAGTGGGATGGGGAATGGGATACAGGAATGGGATGGGGAATGGGGTGGGGGCTCCCTCCCGTTCCCAGAGCTGCCGTCACCGCCCGGCACCGGCAGCTGACGCTCCCACACCATGTCCCCCCCCAGCCGGACCTGCGCGTGCCAAGGCAAGGACCCCAACACCTGCGGTGCTTCCTTCTCCTTCGGCTGCTCCTGGAGCATGTACTTCAACGGCTGTAAATACGCCCGCAGCAAAACTCCCCGCAAGTTCAGGCTGGTGGGAGACAACCCCAAAGAGGTGGGTGATGGAGGTGGAGCAGGGGCAGCACTGGTGGGGTGGTGGTTTGGAGCTCCTTTCCTGTCAGGACTATGAAAATAGGATTCCATGAAGGGTTTTTACGAGCTAGAGATGAGGAAAGGAAAGGTGGCACGAATGGGGCCTCTAGAAATCCCAGAGGACAATGAGGCTGGAGCTTGGATGGCCAAATCCTCACAAGGAATTTAAGCCATGTGCTTTGTGCTGTGGTGGATATCATGGGAAGGGTTGGCTGCTGTGTGGTGTCTGTGGACTCTGTCCCCAGTTCCATCCCTGCTGCCAAAACCCCTGGGAGACATCCTCCTCTTTTCCCTACCGCAGGAAGAGCTCCTCCGGAGAAGCTTTCAGGACTTGGCCACCGAGGTTGCTCCGCTTTACAAGAGGCTGGCGCCGCAAGCCTACCAAAACCAGGTCCTGCTCGTCCCACTCTTGGCACACACGGCTGGAATGGGTGTGGGGTGCTGCTGTTGAGGGATTTTGGGTAACCAGCTCCTCCTTCCACAGGTCACCAATGAGGATGTAGCCATTGACTGCCGGCTGGGCTTGAAGGAGGGGAGGCCGTTCTCGGGGGTGACGGCGTGCATGGACTTCTGTGCTCATGCTCACAAGGACCAGCACAACCTCTACAACGGCTGCACCGTGGTAAGCAGGCACCTGGCAGGGCTTTTCAAGGTGCTCCCCTCTAATTGGGGGTGCTCCTTTTTGAGGGGCTTCATCCCCAGTTGTTCCACCCTCGTGACTCCAGGTGTTTGGTGTGGGCACACCTCACATGGGCTGCTCAGGTCTAACAGGCACCAGCATCTACTTTTGTCCAACCCAGACCCCATGGGAGGTTTCCAGATACCAGCTGGGGACCAGAGCAGGCTGGGGGGGTGCCAGGCTGCTGTGGCTTCATGTCAGTGTGGGGAAGAAGTGGGAGGTTTGGCTCATCCAGCACGGGCCACATCCATCAGCATCCCACTGACAGCACGTGCTCCGGCCAGGTCTGCACGCTGACCAAGGAAGACAATCGTGTGGTGGGGAAAATTCCCGAAGATGAGCAGCTGCACGTCCTCCCCCTCTACAAGATGTCCAGCACGGATGAGTTCGGCAGCGAGGAGAACCAAAACGCCAAGGTGGGCAGCGGGGCCATCCAGGTGCTCACGTCCTTCCCCCGCGAGGTCCGCAAGCTGCCTGAGCCCGCCAAGTCCTGCCGGCAGCGGCAGCTGGAAGCCAGGAGAGCTGCTGCCGAGAGGAAGAAGCTGCAGAAAGAGAAGCTGATGACGCCAGAGAAGATCAAGCAGGAAGCGCTCGAGCTCCCCACGCTCCAGCCAAATGCAGGTAACGGGGGCAGAGGTGAGGTCCTGCCACCCCGAGCTGCCCGGAAAGCGCGCGAGGGGATGGGGGTGTGGTTGGGGACCTTTTTTGGGCTGCTGTGTTGTGGTGCTGGATGGCATCTCTGTGCCTCCTGGGTTTTCACAAAGGTGCGAATCGATGCCGGTGTGCCAGGTGATGGCAGGTGATGCCAACCTCTGCAGCTGGCTGGCAAACCCATCACCGTGGGATTTCTGAGTCTGGCCGACCGTTCTGGGGTCCTGGCTCCCTTCCAGTGGCTCCCTCGGCCGGCAGGTCACGGGGGCTGTGTGTGCTGTCCCACAGGTATGGCGTTGAAAGGCGGGATACCCCCGCAGCCGCTGAAACCTTCCATCAAGGTGGAACCCCAGAGCCATTACAACGCCTTCAAGTACAACGGCAACGCCGTGGTGGAGAGCTACTCGGTGCTGGGCAGCTGCCGGCCCTCCGACCCGTACAGCATGAACAGTGTTTACTCTTACCATTCCTACTATGCACAGCCCAATCTGCCTTCCGTGAACGGGTTTCACTCCAAGTTCGCGCTTCCCTCCTTCGGGTATTATGGCTTTTCCAGCAACCACGTGTTCCCCTCGCAGTTTCTCAATTACGGGGCGCCCGAGAGGAGCGGGAGCAGCTGGGTCAGCAACGGCTACGAGAAAAAGCCCGACGTCTCGGCTCTGCAGGAGAACCTCAACCACACCTACGGGAACGGCAATTTCCCTGAGCCCATCCCGCACGGCGTGCGGAGCAAAAACCATCACCAGCGCACCTACGAGCGAGCCAACCGCTACGCCAGCCAGCAGAAAGCGGCGGCGGCCACGGCCGGGGCGCACAGGACTAGTTCAGGCTCGGAGGAGGCACCGGCGTTTGCACAGAACTGTTTCGGCAGCCGGCCCATCAAGCAGGAGCCTCCAGATCCCCCGCCCGCCATCGAGCCCCTTCCCAGCCCTGCGGCCGTGCCCGGCGCTGGTTTAACGCTGCCGGCCGTCCCTGCGCACGGCACGGCGCCGGAGCAGCGCTGGAGCCCCTTCAAGGCGCCGCAGGGTACGGCTTCCCCCGAGAGGACTAGCACGGCCGAGGGCTCGTGGAGCGCGCTGGCGCCGGGCTCGGGCGGGCGGGAGAAGCTGAGCGCCTTCGACGCTGCCGTGCGCCTGCCGCCGCCGGAGAAGCAATGGTCCAACGTCCTGGCGGGAGAGCCGCCGGCGGCGGCAGCGCACGGCTCGGGCTTGCTGCCGAAACCGTGGAGCCCCTGCAAGCTGGGGGAGACGGCGCTGGCGGGCACGGGCACCCCGGGCCTGCTGGGGTCACTGGGGTTCAGCTCGGCTCTGCCAGGGCTCCCCAACTTCCCCGAGGAGCCGTGGGGCTCTGTGAAGGTGGAGGAGCGGAGGACGCCGGCGCCCAGCCCGGGGCTGGCAGAGAAGCCGTGGGAGGCAGCGGTGGGTGAGAAGGGGGTGGCAGGGCCCCGCCAGGAGAAGACGTGGGACCCCTTTGGCCTGGAGGAGGATCTGCCGGAGAAGGCGGTGAAGGAGGAAGAGGAAGAGGAGGAGGAAGAGGAGGAGGAAGAGGAAGAGGAGTGGTCGGACAGTGAGCACAACTTCCTGGACGAGAACATCGGCGGCGTGGCCGTGGCGCCCGCCCACGGCTCCATCCTCATCGAGTGCGCCCGCCGCGAGCTCCACGCCACCACCCCGCTGAAGAAACCCAACCGCTGCCACCCCACCCGCATCTCCCTCGTCTTCTACCAACACAAGAACTTGAACCAGCCCAACCACGGCCTGGCGCTGTGGGAGGCCAAGGTGAAGCAGCTGGCGGAGCGGGCTCGGGCCCGGCAGGAGGAGGCGGCGCGTCTGGGGCTGCCGCCGGACGCCAAAGCCTTTGCCAAGAAGCGCAAGTGGGGCGGCGCGTTGGCGACCGAGGCGCCCAGCAAGGAGAGGAGGGACTCTGTGCCCACGCGGCAGGCGGTGGCCATCCCCACCAACTCCGCCATCACTGTGTCCTCCTACGCCTACACCAAGGTGACGGGCCCCTACAGCCGCTGGATCTGAGACCGAGGCGACCGCCATGGCCCCATCTTACCTCAACCCTCGGCAGCGCCGCAGCCCGGCGTTGCTTCGTGGTGCTTTCTCCTCGGGCGTGGGGGAGAAGAAAACAAAAGTAAATAGACGAAACTGAAGCGAAACACAACAACCACAAAAAACAAAAAAAATAAAATCCAACCCATAGGAAACGAACCCAACGCGCGCGCTCGGGAGCAGCGGAGCCGGCGCGGGCTCACGCCGTCGGAGAGCTGCGCCCAGCGAGGAGTTGGCAAAGCAAGCAAAACTTGGTTAAAAAACCCAAGAGGAACGATGCTGTTTGATGATTTTAGGTAATCTCATATTTATATCTCCATGTTTTTTAATCTAGCCTCGGATGAATTTCCTAGTGTCCTTGCGCAAGGAGAGGTTTTTAATTCTACTTAAAATGGCCTGTTCGTTGGATTTGATTTTATTTTATTTTTTACTCCGATGACAACGACGAAGCCGATCTTCGAAAGAGAAGCCAACATTGAAAAACCACCCTAACCATGAATCCAAACCAACCTGAACACCAAACCAGCTCAAAGGCAAGAGGTGACTCCCTCCATCTCCTCCGCGTGGGGGCTGGTGGGACCGTGTGCTTTACTGTCAGCCGGACACGCTGAACATCCAATTATTTTTATTCCAAGGACCTAAAAATACCAATTCTGCAGCTCGAGGAGACCTTTCTCACAGCAACGGGAGCCCGCGAGCGAGCGGGCCGTCCCGGGACGGTGCGTCTCCGCCCGGCTCCTCGCCTCCGGCGGGATCGGCTCTGCCGCCGCGGAGCAAAGCCGGCGTCGCTCCTGGCGCCGGAGACCTCAGGACACGTCCGGGCTGGGGAACGCCGCTGCCGGGGGGCCGAGCTCGGGCTCGGACTTGGGGCTCCTTTGCCCACGGCCTCCGGGGCGAGCGGCAGCGGCGGCGTCTCCGTAGGAGCCGACGGGACAAAAACAGAAGAAAAAAAAGAAAAAAAAAAAATTTTACAAAAAACAGGAAAAAAACACAAACCAACCCCAAACTGTGAATAGCGAGTGTTGCTCTCTGTACATCACTGTTGCTAAAGTCTGGTGCTTTCCGTCTCCGGGGGACTTTCTCTCCGTGCAATCGGCTCTGGGAAGAGCGAATCCCAAGACTTGGTGGTCCGCCTTCCCCGCCGGTGCCGGCGAGCCGCGGCCAGCGCCGCCGGGGCTCGGTGCTCTTTTCTCTCCCCGGGTGCCATCCCTCCTTCCTACGGATCACCGTTCTTCCCTCAAAAAACAAACAAACAAACAAACAAAAAACAAAACAAAAACCCCAACCCAACCAATAACCCAGCAACGACGACAACCGCGTGGTGCTTTTGGAACACTCTCAGTCGAGACTTCCCGCCCGGCGCCGGGACGGACGGAGCGCGGCCGAGCTGCCCCGCGGCGCGGCCGGAGCCGGGGGCCGGCGTCCCCGGGCGGGGTCGTTGCTTTTGCACTTTGAGGTGCCTTTTGGAGAGCCAGCGGGGCAGCGCCGACGCCGTCGCCGTGCGGGATCACCTCGTGTTTACCGTCACCCTCCTTCCCCCCACCTCGCGCACGGGCACGGATCAGCAGGATCTCGGTAAAACAGCCTGAACATTGACGTGGTCTGATTTTAAACCTGTAAATAGGGAAAGAAATTTTTTTAAAAGCACTTTCACCTAGATTTAAAAAAAAAAAAAAAAAGAATGAAAGCGAAACTTAAAAAAGCAAACAACTCCCCTCTTTCCTCTCCCCCCACTCCCCCCCAACTTGAAGCAGTATGTTTTAAACAAGATTATCGTGGGAGAACTGTAAATACTGGCAGAATATTTAACATGCTTTGTCCGTCCTTCATCATTAATGATTTTTTTTTTTTGGTTTTTGTTTTTTTGTTCGTTTTTTAACCGTAATCTGTAAAGTCGCGTATATTTGACAAGGAAACTCAACGAGCTATTCCCGCTTTTCTTAGAAATACCCAATAGCATATCAGGATTGTAAGAGTCAGATTTTAGGGACGCCGGCGGGCGATGCCGGGGACCCGCCGTGTGGCCGTGGTTCGGGATGCGGAGCGGGGACGACGCGGGGCCGGGTTCGGGTGCCGGCCCCGCTGTTGTCGCCCGGGGTCTCTGGCTGGCGTGATGGGGGTGCCTTGGAGGAGAAGGAGCGTTGGGAGAAGGCGATGGTCCGTGTAACCTGTCTAAGTCCTGCTTCCTCAGAGGTTTTTCGGTGCAGGGAGGGGTCGGTCCAGCGCGGCGGGTTCAGCCCGGGAGAGCGGGGAGCTGCCGGCGCCGCGGGTCGGGGAGCGAGAACTGCTGCAGTCTCAACGTTTTTACACTACATAAACTTTGTCTAACCTACCTCAACTCTCAGTCATTACGAATTCGCACGCTTCAGACTTCTACACAAACTCGAAATCTATGCACAGCTCTTTACCCCTTGCTGCTGAGAGGCTGTTTCCAAGCAAAATCTTTTCCCTTTACCCGTCCCGGCGGCCGCGCTTGTCCCGCCCGTGCCGAGGCCGCGGGGGTCGCGGAGCTCAGGGGGGAGGGATGATGTTTTTAACGAGTGGGATGTGGGGACCTGGTTTTGCAGCAGGTCGTGGCCACAATGGTGCTAGAACAACAGCCGTGGTGGAAACCCCAGGGAGGGCTCGGCACGGGGAGCCCCGACCGGCTCCTCCGTCCCACTTTGGTTTTTCTGGCCACGGTGCTTCGCCTCGGGCAGGAAACGAGGGATGCAATTTGGGTCCCCCTCCATCTCGATGCTTTCGGGATGAGGCATGGGAAGGAGAAGGAAACCAGAATCCCTGAGGTGCCTCAATTGCTGATTTTTCCTTTTAATACTGGAGTACGCTTTGTGGGCTCTATAAGGCATATTTTTATTAAATGAAATCTTGTAATACAAACGGTGCTATGGTGTTTTAACAAACTGTATCACGCTTCTGCCTGATTCCATCTCGCTGAGGTGCTACTAATGTATATATCAAATTAAGGAATCAACATAAAAAAACAAAAAAAATACAAAATTTAAGCAATGTCGTTGAGAAGGAAGTTTACTTTTCCGGAGCGACAGCTCGAGGCGTGCCGGGAGCCGGTTGGGTTTATGCAAACTGAAAGAGGCGCCACGTCCGAGGCGTGCTGCCGGCCGGGGTCGTGGTGGAGCCGTTCCCTGTGGGTCCCAGGATGAGGTGCTGGAGGTGATGTCCAGGTGCAGGGCTCAGCCAGGTGTCCACAGGGCTCGGACACATGTGTGGTCATGGTGCTTGGCCAGGTTTGTGGTCATGGTGCTTGGACAAGGTGCTCAGCCAGGTGTGTGGTCATGGTGCTTGGACAAGGTGCTCAGCCAGGTGTGTGGTCATGGTGCTTGGCCATAGTGCCTGGACAGGCTGTTCGGTCATGGTGCTTGGCCAGGGTGCTCAGCCAGGTGTGTGGTCATGGTGCTTGGCCAGGGTGCTCAGCCAGGTGTGTGGTCATGGTGCTTGGCCACAGTGCTTGGACAGGCTGTTCGGACATGGCGCGTGGACGTAAGTGCTCGGACACGGTGCTCGGCCACACATCGTAGACGCGGTGCTCGGACTCGGTGCTCAGGCTCAGTGCTCGGCCACAGGTCACGGACATAGCGTGGTCATGGACATGGTGCTCGGTCATGGTGCTCAGCCACAGGTCATGGACATAGCATGGTCATGGACGTGGTGCTCAGGAACAGTGCTCAGCCACTCCTTGTGGACATGGTGCTCGGACATGGTGCTCAGTGCAGTGCTCGGACGTGGTGCTTGGACGTGGTGCTTGGACATGGTGCTTGGTCCCCGTGCTTGGCCACACATGATGGACGTGGTGCTCAGACGTGGTGCTCGGACATGATACTCGGACATGGTGCTTGGTCCCCGTGCTTGGCCACTCATGATGGACATGATGCTCGGACATGGTGCTTGACCACGGTGCTTGGACGTGGTGCTTGGACACGCATCATGGACATGGTGCTCGGACGTGGTGTGCGGACATGGTGCTGTGTTTGGTGCTTGGACTTGGTGCATGAACATGGTGCTCGGGCACGGTGCTCTGCTGTGGTGCTCGGACATCGTGTGTGGACATGGTGCTTGACCACAGTGCTTGGACCTGGTGCATGGACATGGTGTGTGGACATGGTGCTTGACCACAGTGCTCGGACATGGTGCATGGACATGGTGTGTGGACATGGTGCTTGACCCCAGTGCTCGGACATGGTGCATGGACGTGGTGTGTGGACACAGTGCTTGACCACAGTGCTCGGACATGGTTCTCGGACATGGTGCATGGACATGGTGCTCGGGCATGGTGCTCAGCCATGCACCATGGACGTGGTGCTCAGCTGTGGTGTGTGGACATGATGTGTGGTCAGTGCTTGTCCGCAGTGCTCAGACATGGTGCATGGACATGGTGCTCGGGCACGGTGCTCAGCCATGCCACCATGGACATGGTGCTCGGACACGGTGCTCAGACATGATGTGTGGACACGGTGCTCAGCCAGGGTGTGTGGACACGGTGCATGGACCTGGTGCTTGGACATGGTGCTCGGACATTGGTGCTTGCACGTGGTGCTCGGACATGGTAAATGGACATTGGTGCTTGGCCCTGCGCTGTGGACGTGATGGGTGGACACGGTGCTCAGACGTGGCACATGGACACGGGTGCTCTGCTTGGTGCTTGGACTCAGTGCTTGGCCATGGCTCCTGGAGCCGTGCTCTGCCGTGGTGCTTGGACACGGCCCATGGTGCTCAGCCACGGTGTGATTTGACCACGTGTTGTGGACATGGTGCTTGAGCATGGTGCTCAATGGTGGTGCTCAGGCATGGACACGGCACTTGGACACACACCCCGGCCACGGTGCTCGGCCACGGTGCTCGGCCACAATGTGTGGACGTGGTGCTGAGCTGGGGTGTGTGGACACAGCGCTCGGCCAAGGGGCTTGGACACGGCGTGTGGACACGGTGGTTGGGCATGGAGCATGGACATGGTGCTCAGATGTGGAGCATGGACTTGATGATTGGGCACAGAGCATGGACACGGTGGTTGGGCATGGAGCATGGACACGGTGGTTGGGCACGGAGCATGGACACGGTGGTTGCCCAGAGCATGGACACGGTGGTTGGGCATGGAGCATGGACACGGTGGTTGGGCACGGAGCATGGACACGGTGGTTGCCCAGAGCATGGACACGGTGGTTGGGCACCCCCATGGCTCTGCTCGGCTGGGCTCAGTCCTGGTGCTGTTCCCCTTCAGCACCAACCTTGAGTAACCAACCCTGTGCTGCTGGTGCTCAGCACTGTGCCAGCACCACGTCCATGCCATGTCCATCCCATGTCCATCCCATGTCCATCACCACGTCCATCCCTGTGTCCATCCCATGTCCATCCCATGTCCATCACTGTCCATCACTGTGTCCATCCCGTGTCCATCCCGTGTCCATCCCGTGTCCGTCCCATGTCCAGCACCGTGTCCAGCCCTGTCCAGGCTCCCGCAGCTCCTCGCTCTCATCCCCTCCCGCCTTCCCCCAGCTCCTCCCGCCTCTTTCTTTTCCCCTTCCCCCTTTTTTGGGTTGATTTTTCCTTTTTTTGGGGTTTCTTGGTGCTACTTCCCCCCCGCGCCCCCCAGCAGATACCTCAGCCCCCAGCCCCGGGTGCAGCTCGTCCAGGATCAGGGATCCTCTCCCCATTTCTGAGATCCTTTCCCACATTTCCAAAATCCTTTCTGAGATCCTTTCCTGCTTTTCTGGGATCCTTTCCCACATTTCTGGGATCCTTTCCTGCATTTCTGGGATCCTTTCCCACATTTCTGGGATCAGGCATCCTCTCAATTTTCCCTTCTTTTCCCTTTCCCGCCCGGGTTTTCCCCATTTCTGCGCCTCCTTCAGGGATTTTTGACCCCGCCGTAATTTCCTCATTTGGGTTCTGGGAGCGAGGAGAGGTTTTGGGTCAATGGGATTTTTTATTTTGGAAATGTTACTTTATTTTATTTTATTTTATTTTATTTTATTTTGTTTTGTTTTGTTTTATTTTATTTTGTTTTATTTTACTCGGATTTTTTTAAATTCAATTTTTAAAAATTTTATTTTATTTTATTTTGGAAATTCTATTTTATTTTTTATTTTATTTTATTGGAATTTTCTTCTTTTAAATTCTATTTTGTTTTTAAATTTTATTTTGTTTTATTTTATTTTATTTTTTAAAATTTTATTTTACTTTTTAAATTTTATTTTATTTTTCTTTATTTTATTTTCTTTTTTTGCACCATGGCAATTCCAAATTTACAACCCGAGCGTCATTTCTCCTGGGATCTGGGAATTCAGCCGTAGGCGGGGCGGCTCTTTTGGCGCTTTTTGGGATTTTTTGGGGGATTTTTTGGGAATTTTTCAGGGATTTTTTTCTGGGCTGTTCCAGTGGTTTTTGGGATTTCTTTTGGGATTTTTTTCTGGGATGTTCCAGTGCTTTTTTTGGGATTCTTTTTCTAGGGTGTTCTGGCATTATTTGGGATTTATTTTGGGATTTTTTTTGGGGATTTTTTCTGGGGCATTCCGATGCTTTTTGGGATTTATTTTGGGATTCATTTTGGGATTTCTTTTGGGATTTTTTCTGTGGTATTCCGGTGCTTTTTGGGATTTATTTTGGGGGATTTGTAGGGATTTTTTGGGGATATTCCAGCGCTTTTTGGGATTTATGTTGGGATTTCTTCTGGGCTATTCCGGTGGTTTTTGGGATTTATTTGGGGATTTTTCTTGGGCTGTTCCGGGGTTATTTGGGATTTGTTCTCGTGTGTTTTTGCAATTTTTCCTGGGGTGTTCTGGGGACGGCGGCAGCTGCGGGGGAGGCACCGGGGGCGTCCCAACCCCTTGGGGTTCCTGGCTGGGCTCGGCTCTGGGGTTACTTGAAATGAAGTTTCGGGGCGGATCGAGGAGCGGTAGAATTTTTTCCCACGTCTCAAGGCAATAGGATTAATTAATTAATGAATTAATTAACATGTAATTAAACTGTAGATACTCCTAGGACAGGAAATCGATGCCGATAATTTTATTTTGTATCATTTTCCCTTTCTCTCTGTGTTGTTTTTCCCCCTTTTCCCTCCTTTTCTTTTCCCCCAATGTTTCAATAAATTTATTTTTTAGGATTCCTAAAAATCGCAAGTTTGGATCCTCCCCTCCGGTTTTGGTTTTGTTTTTTTGGGGTTTTTTTGTTCTGTTGTTGTTTATTTTAATTTGTATTTTATTCTGAGTTGGGCTGTGTTATTATTCCCGATACCTTTAAAATATTGTGGGTGTTTTAATAAATTTTATATTTATTTTTTGCACTCAACATCAGGCTCGGCTGCAATTCCTGTGGGATTGGGGTTTGTGGGGTTTTTGGGGTTGGGGTTTTTGGGGTTGGGGTTTTTGGGACTGGGGGGTCTGGATGGGGTTCTGGGTATGGGAACTGGGGGTCCTTTAGGGGGGGACCAGGATGGGGGCTCCATCTATGGGATGAGAGGGGGGATGGGATCCTTTTGGGGGTCGGGATGGGACCCTGGATATGGGAATAGTGTGGGGGAGGAGGAGGGGACTTTTGTGGGGTCAAGGGGGGGCTTTTTACGGGGTCAGGAGAGGACCCTTTGTGGGGTCAGGACCAGGACTTTTGTAGGATCAGGGTGGGGCCTTTTGTGGGGTCAGGAGGGGGCTATTTATGGGGTCAAGAGGGGACTCTTTATGGGGTCGGGATGAGGCCCTCTATGGCGTCAGGAGGCACTTTTTGTGCAGCCAAGTGGGGGCTTTTTTGGGGTCAGGTGGGGGCTTTTTGTGGGGTCAGGATGCAGCCATTTGTACGGTCACTATGAGACCTTTTGTGGGATCAGGAGGGGATCCACTATGGGGTCAGGAGGGGGCTTTTTATGGGGCCACGATGGGGCTTTTTGTGGGGTCAGGATGGAGCTTTTTTTGGGGTCAGGAGGGGACCCTTTTTGGGGACCCTTTTTGGGGGCCCTTTGGGGGGGGCGTCGCGGCCTCTCCTGGTCCTCCGAGCCACCGGGGGGCGCTCTTGGCGGCGCAGCGCTGGCCCCGCCCCTTTTCCCAGCGGCGCGCTCTGATTGGCTGAGGCGGAGGTGACCCCGGCGCGCCCCCGGCATGGCGGCGGCGGGGCTGAGCCGGGGCCCGGTGAGTGTCCGTCAGTCCCCGTGTCCCTCTGTCCTTATCCCCGCGTCCCTCTGTCCTCGTCCCCCTGCCCTTCCCCTGCCCGTGCTCCCCTCCCGACCCGTCCCCCTCCCTGCGTGTCCCCCCCGGTGCCGGTAAGCGCGGCCCGCGCCCCCTCACAATGAGCATCCCCGGGCCCGCTTCCCACCATCTCCCGGTGTTCCCTCGTTCCTTCTACCGCTCCCGGTGCTTCCGCTCCTCACAATGTCCCCAGGCACGGGTAACCCCGCCTGCCCCTCCCCAGGCCCCGTTCCCACCACCCGATCCTCCGGTGGTGGCAGCGCCCGTTCCCGTCCCTCCTTCTCCCGGTTCGCCCGCATCTCCCGGGCTTCCGCAGCTTCCTGTGCCCTCCGCCGGTGCCGGCAGCTTCCCCTTCCCTTCCCCCGTTCCCGGGGCTGTTTTTGGGGTCCCCCCAGGGGTCTCAGGGCCGTTTCCCCCCAGCTGTTCCTGCGCTGCCGCTCCTGGCGGGGTTTGGCCTCCGGTACCGATGGGGAGTCACGGCTGGCGCAGCTGCTGCGGGAGAAGTTCCCGCGGGCCTCGGCCATCAAGGTGGTGGACATCTCAGGTAGGGCCTAAACCCGCTCTTTGTGGTCCTAAACCCACTCTTTATTACCCTAAACCCACTCTTGGTTGCCTCAAATCTGCTCTTTATTGTCCTAAACCCGTTTTTGGTTGCCCTAAACCCACTTTTAGTTGCCCTAAACCTGGTTTTTATTGCCCTAAAGTCGCTCTTTATTGCCCTAAACACACCCTTGGTTGCCCTAAACTCGCTCTTTCTACCTGAAGCCCACTCTTTATTGTCCTAAACCCGCTCTTTGTGGTCCTAAACCTGGTTTTTATTGCCCTTACCCCACTCTTGGTTGCCCCAAACCCAGATTTCTTTTTAAACCCACTGGGCTGTGGGGACCCCCAGACAGGGCAGGAGTGTGAGGGTGCTCAAGCCTTGACTTGAACTGACTTTAATGGATTTTAATTGGCGTTAATTGGGGCGGGTTCCCAGGAGGCTGCGGTGACATGTACGAGATCCACGTGGAGTCCGAGGAGTTCCGGGAGAAGCGCCCGGTGCAGCAGCACAGGATGGTGACACAGGTGTGGGGCAGGGAGGGAGAATGGAGCAGAGGGAACAGGAGAGAGGGGGTTTGGGTGAGGGAATGGGGGCAAGGGAATGGGACAGAGGGGATGGGAGAGAATGGGAAAGAGGGAATGGGGAGAGAGGGAAAGGGAACAGCTGGAATAGGGGAGAGGGAATGGGGAGAAGGAGGGGAACGGGGAGAGGGAATGGGGGAAAGAGGATGGAGAGAGGGGATGGGGGTGAGGGAACGGGGGAGAGAGGGGATGAGAGGGAACAGGGAGAGAGGGAATGAGGAGAGGGGGAAGAGGGGAAGGGAGAGGGGATTGGGGGAGAGGGAATGGGAGAGAATGGGGGAGAAGGGACGTGGGAGAGGGAACAGGGAATGGGGGAGAATGGATGGAGAAGAGGGAACCCATGGGGCTGAGGGTGCAGCCCTGGCTGTGGCTGAGGCCGCTCCAAGGCCAGGGCAGCCCCTGAGCTGCGCTTGCCCCACAGGCGCTGAGCGAGGAGATCAAGCACATGCACGGCCTGCGCATCTTCACCTCGGCCCCCAAGGGCTGAGCCTGCCACGGTGAATAAAGAGCTCCAGGAGGGGCCCAGGGCTGCCCCCCTGGGCGTGAACCCCACCCCGTGCTGTGTGCTCAATCCTGGGGAATGGTTATTATTATTTATTAGTATTACTATTAACATTACTATTATTATTATTTCTAGTGGTTCCAGCCCCATTTCTGGGGTGCTTGGGTTTATGGGGAGGGGTCTTTGAGGGCCCCAGGCCCATGGGGAGGGGTCTCTGGGGGTCCCAGCCCCACTTTTGGGGGAGGCTTCGTGATTTGTGCGGGTGGTGAGCGACGCATGGAGCCAGCAGAGATCAGCCACAGCACTTCATGGGATTTTTGCCAATTTTATTTTGCCAATTGTATTTTGCCAATTTTATTTTGCCAATTTTATTTTGTCCCTTACCTTTGGCAGGCCGGGGCGGTGGCCGAACCCCTCCGGTTTGGGGGGGCCCAGCGTGGTCCCTCGGTGCCCCGGGTTGCCTGTCCTTACCTTTGCCGAGCCGGGGTTGGTGTCCGACCCCCCAATTTGGGGGTGTTCTCCATCCCCTTACCTTGGGCAGGCCGGGGCGGTGGCCGTGGCCCCCGATCGGGGAGCCCGGCGTGGTCCCTCGGTGCCCCGGCGGGTCTCGCTCCTTACCTTTGCTGAGCCGGGGGGGCGGTGCCGGTCCCGCTCCCGTTCGGAGGGGCCGGTACCGAGAAGGCGGCGGCGATTAAAGACACAAGGACAGCGACAAGCGGCGCATCGGCGGATCCCCATCCCTCCCAACCCTCCCCCAACGACCACCCCGTGTCGGGCTCCGGGCTGGCGGCACCGAGGACGCGGGCGGTGCCGGCGCTCCGGGGCTGGTGGTTCCGAGGGCTCGGCCGGCGCTCCGCTGTTGAATCTTCTGCTCCTCCCGTCCCGCTCCGCTGCCGCCGCTGGAACCGAACTGAGCCCGCAGCCCCCGCCGCCGCTTTATATACCCAGGCTTAGCCCCGCCCTCTCGGCCGCAGCCAATGGGAGCCGAGTGCCAACAATGAGGGGCGGGGCATAGAACGCTTTGCTTTGTTGGGGAACAATGAGGGGCGGGGCTGGAGCGGGACGGAGCGATGCGATTGGCTGAGAGAGTTCCGGGAGGGGCGGGGCCTGGGCGCACCGGGCCCCGTCACCGAAAGCGTTCGCCTCGCACCGGGGCAGGGCCGGGGCCGGGTCTGGGGCATCTCCGCCCTCCTCGGCCCGGGGGATGCTCCGGTCCGTGTCCGGTCTTCCCCCGGCCCGGGCCGGCCGCGGCGCTGCGGGGCAGGGGCGGCCCTGGGGCTCCGGCGCGGAGCGGGCATGGCTGCCGGTGTCCGTTGTCAGTGCCTCGGTGATCGTAGTCGCTGTCTCAGTGTCCGTAGTCGTTGCCTCAGTGTCCGCAGTCGTTGCCTCAATGTCCGTAGTCGTTGTCTCGGTGTCCGCAGTCGTTGCCCCGGGGGGATGTTCTGTCGGGACCCATTGTCCGTAGCCCCCCGGGGGATGCCCCGGCCGGGCCCCGCGGTCAGGGAGCCTGCCTGGCTCTCCCCTCCGCATCCCGCCGCGATCCGGGACCGGGCGCAGAGGGGCCGGCGCCGCTCCCCCCTCCCTTCCTCCCTCCCCCGGGATTTCCCCGTCCCACCCGGGGAACCGGGGCTGATGACGCTGTTGGGGTTAGGGCAGGAATTGGGGCCGAGTTTGGGAGCTGGAGCTGAACCTGGGACTGGGGTGGGGCTGAATTTGGGATCGGGGCTGGGCTTAGGGTGTCCGTACCCCCCCCAAGCCGCCAGAGACGGGGACGATGCTCCGGTGCTGCTCGGACAGGGCTTTGTTCAGGAGGGAACGCGGATGTTCAGCTCCCACGGCGTTCTGGACGGGGCAATCCCCTCCTGGCTGGAGAATCCACCGAGGACATCCAGAGCAGCTCGGGAGGGGGTTCAGAGCCAGGAAATCGGGGACCCGGGCGGCTCCTCCTCAGCGCTGTGTCCGGGGATGCTTCGAGGCCGGCAGCTCCTTGGTGGGGGCCGGCAGGAGCAGGCGCGGGTCAGCCACCTTCACCTTGAGGGTGCTCTGCAGGGGGACACAGGGACTCAGGGCACATTCAGGGGTGACAGAGGGGTGTTCGTGGGGCTGTGCTGACCGGGAAGAAGGAATGGAGCAGCAGGAGCAGCAGGAGCGCCGCCAGCCCCAGCCCGAGCCACAGCAGGTAGCGCCAGTGGACGCCGTAGCGGACGAGCTTCAGTGGGGAGCGCAGCCACAGGAACGAGGACTTGGGGCGCCTGCAGGGACACCGGGCTCAGCCACCGCCCGTGTCCCTGTCCCCTCCTGCTGTCCCCGGCTCACCTGGGCTCGGGCAGGGTCGGGTGCTTGTTGGGCTCCTCCCGGCCCTTCCCCACCGGCCGCTCCTCGGCCTCCTGCGCCGACAGCAGCTCCAGGCTCAGCTCCAGCTTCCCCTGCGGGGCCCGGGGGGGGCGGTTGGATCTGTCCCCCAGCCCCGTGGGGATGTCCCCAACCTGTCCCCAGCCTACCGAGAGGCGCTGGCCGCCGTCCTCGTGCATGGTGCAGGGCCACCAGCCCCGCGCCCTCCTCCTGCGGAACAGGTTCAGGGACGGGCGCTGCAGCGCCGGGGAGCGGAACCAGCGCCGGTAGAGGCGCCGGGAGAGCCGGGCCAGGGGCAGCCAGACCCGGGAGAGCCGGGCCAGGGAGAGGCAGGCCCGGGAGAGCCGAGTCCGGATGAACCGCGGCAGGGAGAGCCAGGGCCACGAGAACCAGGGCAGGTCCGACGGCGAGGCCCGGCACAGGCGGGCGCTGCGGGCCGGGCGGGGCAGCCGCGTCAGCTCCAGCTCCAGGATCCCTGCCGGACAGGCCAGGGGATGGCTCCGTCACCAGTGGGAGCTCCCTGTCACCAATGGGTGCTCCCTGTCCCCTGAGGTGTCCCCGCGGTGGTGACACGGGCTCTCACCCAGCAGATCGTCCGCCTTGAACTTGTCATTGTCCCACACCTGCAGGATGAGCTTGGGCGGCACCTTCAGCAGGGTCTCGTCCAAACTCCACACGTGCTCCTGCCCGGGGACACGTCAAGGTCCCACACGTCCCCAGGCCGTGTCCCCGGGCTGTGTCCCCTCGCTGTCCCCTGTCTCTGACCTTGCGGCGGATGGCGCAGAGCTTCTCAGCCGCCAGGAACTCGAAGGGGAACACAAAGCGCCAGTTGAAGGCGCCGCGGCCGTCCAGGGAGCGATAGTGGATGTCGGTGTGCTGCCGCTGCTCGGGGAGCCCGTCCAGCCACCTGCGGGGACAGCAATGTCACCCGTGTGTCACCACCCAGGGGACACTGCTGTCACCTCTGTATCACTGCCCAAGGGACACTGCTGTCACCCCTGTACCCATCCCTGCCCATCCAGCCACCTGCAGGGACACCGCTGTCACTTTTGTGTCACCCATGTGACACCACTGTCACTTTTGTGTCACCCCACAGGGGACACCGCTGTCACCACTGTGCCCACATGGATGGGGACACCCTGGCGTGACAGGGACCCTGGGGATGGGGACCCTGCGGTGACAAAGGAGCTGCCAGGGGCTCTGGGCTGAGCAGGACAGAAGCTGGGGGGTGGCAGGGGACACGATGGGGACACACCCGGACACGTAGATGTCACTCATGCGCTGGCCCAGCAGGTTGACGTCCCCGGGCTCCGTGTCCCGCACGTTCCACACCACGCAGCGCAGCTCGTACCTCGGGGGGGGACAGGGACAGCTCTGTCACCTTCGTCACCTTCCCCCTGGGCTGGCCCTGTCCCCACGGGGCTCTCCTGTCCCCCACTCACCCCTCGGCCTTGCGGGGGTCGATGTTCACGGGGGGCCCGGGGGGGCCGAGGCTGGTGGGGAAAATGTCCACCCACATCTGCACCTTGCCCTGGGGACACCGGGATGGGCTGGCACCGGCACAAGTGTCCCCAAGCGTCCCCACTGTCCCAGGCTCCTCATCACCACGGGGTCCCTTTGTCCCCCCAGCACCTGCCCTTGTCACCCCCCTGCCCATTCACCCACTCCTGGGGTCCCTGGCACCCACCCCAGTGTCCCCGTCACCACAATGTCCCCATCCCAGTGTCCCTGTCCCCACGGTGTCCCCATCCCCACGTTCTCTGTCACGCCGGTGTCACCCTCACCCCTCCCCGCCAGGTGTCACTGTCACCCCCAGCCCAGTATCGCTGTCCCCACGGTGTCGCTGTCACCTGCTCCAGGCCGGGCCGGGCGCGGCTCTGCAGCCCGCGGGTCTCCAGGTGCTCCGGGACGAGCCCGCACAGGTTCAGCACGTGCAGGGCCAGGCGCTCCCGGGGGGCCCCGGCGTGGCGGGGCGGGGGGTGGCCCCGCTCTGTGACACCGAGCCACTGTCACCCGCCCGACAGCCACCCCACGGACCCCCCAACAGCCCCGACCTACCCCAGACCCACCCCAGATCCCCCAAATCCTCCCCCAGACCCCTCCAGACTCGCCCAGATCCCCCCAACACCCCCAAATTACCCCAGACCCACCCCAGATCCCCCAAACCCCCTCCAGATCCCTGGAAACCACCCCAAACCCTCCCCAGAACCTCCCAAACCCCCACCAGACTTTCCCCACATCTTTCCAAACCCCCCAGAACCCCCATATCCCCATCAGATCCCCCCCCAAACCCCCCCAGCCCCTCCCCAGCCCCTCCCCATCCCTGCCCTCACCGAAGTGGCTCAGCTGGAAGCGCTGCCCGCCCAGGCTCAGGGCGGTGCCCCCGCGGCTGAAGCGGGGCCCGCGCAGCCCCCGCGCGGCCGCCAGGAGCTCCAGGGCCCGGCTGGGGCACAGCTGATCCCGCCAGCAGGCGGGGCCCGCGCTGGGGACACGGCAGTGGCACCTCTGCTCTGCTGGGAGTCACCCCTGTGCCCGCCCCGGCCCTCTGTGCCCGCTCCGTGCCATCCCCCTGTGCCCCCCAAACCCTCCTGTGCCCCCCATCCTGTCCCTCCTCCTGTGGCCCAAATCCCTCTGTGCCCCCTCCCTGCCATCCTCCTGTGCCCCCCAAACCCTCCTGTGCCCCCCAAACCCTCCTGTGCCCCCCATCCTGCCCCTCCTCGTGTCCCAAATCCCTCCGTGCCCCCTCTGTGCCCGCTCCGTGCCATCCTCCTGTGCCCCCCAAACCCTCCTGTGCCCCCCATCCTGCCCCTCCTCGTGGCCCAAATCCCTCCGTGCCCCCTCCCTGCCATCCTCCTGTGCCCCCGTGTGCCCATCATGTTCCCTCCTGTCCCCCTCCCAGCCCTCCGTGTCGCCTCCCTGTGTCCCCTCCCCGTGTCCCTCCCCGTGTCCCCGTCCTCTCACGTGTGGTACAGGGTGGGCAGCCCGCAGTGGGCACGGTGGTGGGACAGCAGCCGGTCCTCCAGGTCGATGGTGGTGCTGCCGATCTCCTGGTCTGGTGGCACCTTGTCATGGTCCATGATTGTCACCCGCAGGTCCTTCTCCAGGGGGATGGTGGCCGTCAGCTCGAACATCCTGGGGGCAGCGGTGTCATCAGCCCGGGGGTGGCACGGGGACAGGGACCCGCGGGGACAGGGGAGCTGGGGACATGGGACATGGCAGGGCGGGGAGTGGGACAGGTGGGGACACAGGGAATGGGGCAGGTGGGGACACAGGGACATGGCAGGACAGGGAGTGGGACAGGTGGGGACACAGGGAATGGGACAGGTGGGGACACAGGGACACGGCAGGACAGGGAGTGGGACAGGAGGGGACACGGGGACACGGCAAGGCAGGGAATGGGACAGGAGGGGACACAGGGAATGGGACAGGGAATGGCACAGGGATCTGGTGGCACAACAGCGCTGGGAACGTCGCCCCCAGTGCCCCCTGGAGGTGACAGCGCCACCAGGGCCACCCGGCCGCACCTGCCGAAGACGGGCTCCAGGGTGTTGGGCACGTACTGGTCCCGCTGTCCCAGCGTCCTCTTGCCCAGCGCCACCCGCACGTAGGGATCGCTCTGGGTGGGGCACGGAGGGGACACGGCGGTGACACCGGGCACGCCCCGCCCCGCCCGCCCCGGGGTCCCCGCCGTGCTCACCAGCCCGGTGACATCGCGGGGGGACAGCTCGAAGGCTCGCACGATGTAGACGCGCACCAGGCACGGCTGCGGCTGGGGCGGCGGCAGCCGCTGGAAGCAGCGCGGGCCGGGGGCGGCTCCGGCGGCCTCGGGCACGGGGTAGATGCGGAACAGCCCCTGAGAGAGCCCCCGGTGCCCTCGGGGGTCCCGCCCCGCCGCCGCGGGTCCCACGGGGGTACGGGGGGTTCACCCACCTTGAAGCTGCCCGCGGGCTCGGGGGCACGGCCGGGTTTGCACAGGGGCAGCGTCTGGCAGAAATCCTGCAGCCCCTGGAACTCGGGCACCGCCTCCAGCTCGCAGCCGTAGATCTGCGGGGCAGGGCCAGGCTCGGGCCAGCCCCGGGCCCTTCTTCATCCTTGTCCCCATTCCCTCCTCATCCTCATCCTTGTCCCCATTCCCTCCTCATCCTTGTCCCCATTCCCTCCTCATCCTCATCCTTCTCCCCTCCCCAGCTTCATCATCCTTGTCCTCCTCAGCTTCATCCCCCTCCCTGTCCTCACCCACTCCCCTCATCCTCCCTGTCCCCATCCTGTCCCTGTCCCCATCCTGTCCCTGTCCCCATCCCAGGGCAGGTCCCAGGCTCTGGCTCACCTTCAGTCTGTCCCCGTTGGGGGATTTGGGGTCCTTGTCCTCCATGGACGCGTAGAATTTGCTCCACCAGTCCCTCTCCTCCTCCTCCTCCTCCTCCTCATCGTCCTCGTCCTCATCCTCCTCTTCTTCATCTTCCTCATCCTGGTGGGGAGCAGGAGCAGGTGGGCACAGGTGGCCCTGGTGGCATCTCCAGTGCCACCTGTCCCCGTTCCTGTGCCCACCTGGTCCTCAGCCCGCTTGTTCCTGAGGTAGCCCAGCAGGTCCTGCAGGGAGCAAAGGGCTCTTGGGGAAACTGAGGCACGGGGCTGGGCAGTGCCAGCATCCAGCAGTGCCAGGGCTGGTGCCAGGCGACCAGGGGGACTCACCTGAGCCATCCTGGCTGGGGATACGGCCAGGAACAGGGAACACCAACGTCTGCAGGGGCTGGAGGAGGCGGGCACGGAGAGGAGCTCGTCTGAGGGACAGAGGGACAGGGGGGGTGAGGGAGGGGACAGCTGGGACACGGGGCTGGGGACAGCTGGGATGGGGCAGGGGATACAAAGGGTGAGGCAGGGATGGGACAGGAGGCACCAGGGACGGGCAGGGATGGCACGGGCAGTACCTGGCATTGACACAAGCGTTTCAGAGCCACTGCCGGGCTCCTGGCGGGGCGGGGGGCAGCGGTACCGGCCCAGCTCCCTGACGCTGGCCTGGCCCAGCAGCAGCCGCCGCTCGGGGCCCGCGCGGTGCCAGAGCCGCAGGCGGATGGGCGGCACGAACCGCTCCTCCTCGGGCAGCGCCTGCGGGGACAGCCCGGGGCCAGCCCGGGGACAGCCCGGGGACAGCCCGGGGACAGCCCGGTCACCGCGGCCACAGCCGGGCCCGCTCCCGCCCCCGCCCCCGTCCCGCCCTCACCAGGGTGAGCAGGAAGGCGTTGCTGGGGAAGTTGGGGTTGGTGGCCGTGTCCTGGATCGGGGGCGTCCACAGGCTCTGCTCCCCCCACTGCAGCTCCAGCCGCGGCTCCCGCACGGCCCCGCGCAGCCCCCGCAGCCCCCAGGCCAGCACCTGGCGGGACACGCGGCCCCTGTCACCGGGGTGCTGTCCCCATCCGTGTCGCTGTCCCCTCTCCTGTCCCCATCCGTGCCCCTGTCCCCTCCCCTGCGCTGGCTTTGCCTTCTCCCCTGTGTGCCCGCGCTCATCTTCGCTCCTGTTCTGGTCCCTGGCCTCTCCCCACCCCCTGTCCCTGTCCCCATGAGCTTCAGCTCTGCCCGCAGCCTCTGCCACGCCCAGGTTGCATCTCCAGTCTTGTCCCCATCCCACCTTTACCCCTGTCCCATCCCTGTCCCCATCCCTGTCCCCATCCCTGTCCCCATCCCATTCCCGCCCCACGCTTGTCCCCGCGCTGTCCCCTCCCCGCAGGTGGCTCCCACCTCCAGCGCCACCGTGTGCAGGCGCGGCCGCAGCTCCGGGGGGATGCCGAACCCGTCCTTGCTCAGGGGCAGGGGGCTGAGCGGGGCCGGGGACCCGTCCTGCCGTGAGGGGGGGACACCGTGACGATGCCACCCCGGCCCTGGGTGCCCTCCCTCTGTGACACCCCCGCGTCACCCCTGTCACCGCCTCACCTCGGGCTCCTGCAGGAGCTCGAAGGCCGCCAGCAGCTCCCCGGCCGGGCCCCGCGGGCCCCGCAGCGGGTGGGGCTGGAGCCGGGGCGGCTCCCGGAGCGCCGCGTCCAACCAGACCCGCGGGGAGCACACGCAGCGGCCCAGGAGCACCGCGGGGCCCTGCGAGGAGAGCCTGAGCAGGGGCTGGCCCAGCCGGGGGTGTCCCTGCCCCTGCGTCCCTGACAGCCCCAGCCTTTCATCCCTGACAGCCCCAGCCTTTCATCCGTGATCCCTGTCACTCCATCCCTGACAGCCCCAGCCTTCCACCCCTGATCCCTGTCACTCCATCCCTGACACCTCCATCCTTCCATCCCTGAGCCCCTGTCCCTCCATCCCTCCTGCCAGCCCTCCATCCATCCATCCATCCATCCATCCATCCATCCATCCATCCATCCATCCATCCATCCATCCCTCTGCTCCCACCCTTCCCTCCCTCCCTCCCTCCATCCTTCCCTCCCCGATCCCCCATTCCTCATCCCCTCCTTTGCTCCCATCCCTCCTGCCCTCCCCCCGTGCCCGGTGTGTCCCGTACCTGTCCCCGCTGGTCCCACACCTCCACCACCACGGCCGGGGGGTCCCTCCTGACGCCTCGGGGGTCTCCGAACAGCGGCACCCGGGGGAACAGCAGCGTCTGCTCCCATCGCGGGTCCAGCGCTCCCTGCACCGTCCCCGTGCGCTGGCTCAGGGACAGGAACGACACGTGCGCGGTGGCATCTGGGGACAGCGACACCGTCAGCGCCGGGGCTGCCGGCGGGGCGGCGTCCAGGGGCGGGCGGGGATCCCACCTATGGAGGTCCTGGCGCTGCCGGGCGCCAGATCCAGCGCCTGGAAGATGTAACAGCGGAGCTGGAAGCGGCCGGGGCCTGGGGACAGCCGGGGGTCAGGGGGGGCTGCGAGCCCCCGGCCCTTCCCGACCCCTCCTGACCCCTCCCCGGTCACTCCCGGTCCCTCCCGGCCCCCGGGCTCACGTTGGAAGCTGCAGAGGATGAAGGGGGGCGGCTGCTGCAGGGCCACCTCTGGACTGTCCTGGGCCGGCTCGTTGGTGTCCTGTGAGGAGGGGACAGGGCTGGGCTGGGGGGACCCTGCTGTCCCCCTGTCCCCCTGTCCCACCATGGCCGCGCTCCACGGGGCTCCATCCCTCCCTCTTCCCTCCCTTCCATCTCCCCTCCCTCTCCACACCTCCCGTTCCCCCGGGTCCCTCCCGTTCCCCCGGTCCCTCCCGTTCCTACCGGGGCTCCCTGGAGCAGGAAGAGCGGCGCCACGGCCGCGGGCTCGGCGGGCACGAGGCTGCGCTGCCAGCGCCGCCGGCGGCACCGGGGGCCGGCCGGGACCTTGGGCTGGAAGGCGCAGCCCCAGAAGCACTCGGGCTGCCAGGCCTCGTCCTCCCACAGCTCCTCGGGGTCCTGGAGGGGACAGGGTGACACGAGGACAACAGTCCTGTCACCCTTATCCCCATCACGCCCCATCCTTGTCACCTCTCTTTGTCACCTCCCTCCCCGCTGCCCCGTCCCTGTCCCTGTGTGTGTCACCAGGGTGCCGCAGGTGTCCGTGTCCCGCTCCTGTGTCCAGCTGTCGCTGTCCCTGTGGCGGACCCGGAGCCAGCGCCGGCGCCGCAGGGTGTGGCACTGCTGTCCCTTGCTGTGCCACGCTGCCGGGGGGCTGCCATCCTCCGTGCCCGGCCCGTACTGCCAACCTGCACACAGGGCTCAGCTCCTTCCCTGCCACCGTGTCCCTGCCACCCCCATCCTGTCACCTTCATCCCTGTCACCCTCACCCCTGTCACCCCATCCCTGTCACCACATCCCTGCCACCCCCATCATCCTCATCCCTGTCACCTTCATCCCTGTCACCCCCATCCCTGCCACCCCATCCCTGTCACCTTCATCCCTGTCACCCCATCCCTGTCACCCCCATTCTGTCACCTCTATCCCTGTCACCCCATCCCTGTTGTCCCCACCCTGCTGTGCCCACCGGGACCCCCCCCACTCACCGTCCTCATCCTCGGCCCCCTCCGTGTCCACGTGCCAGTCACTGGTGACGTGCCAGCCCTGGGGACACGCCACCTCTTCCTTCGGTGGCACCGCCACTCCCTTCTGCAAAGCCAGGCGGGCGCTGAGCAGTGACACTCTGGTGTCACCCACCCTGTCCCCACATTGTCCCCACGTTGTCCCCCACTCACGGCGTCCGTGCTGGCCGTGCTGGCCCAGCCCCCGCTGGGGTCTCGGCTCTGGTTCTCGTAGAGCTCCTCCAGCACTGCGGTCCCTGCGCCCTCTGCCCGTGCCAGCACCCTGGGGACAGCGGGGGACAGGGCTGGTGTCACTGCGCTCCCTGCACCCTGGGGACACCAGGGGACACGGCTGGGTCACCGTGCTCCCTGCACCCTGGGGACACCAGGGGAACTGCTGGGTCCCCGTGCTCCCCGCAGGGACAGGGGTGGCTGTGCCCTGGGCTCACCGCCGCCGCGGCCGCTCCGCGCTCCAGGGCCCGTCCCAGCGCCAGCCCTTGGGGGGCTGCAGCTCCTCCGGGGGGGGCAGGGCCCGGCCGGAGCTGTCGGAGAACGCGGGGGGCCCCAGGAGCCGCCGGGGCCCCCATTTCCCCAACAGCCGCGTCTGGTTCTCGAACTGCGGGGACACCGTGCCGGGCCTTGGGGACGCTGTGGGGGGCTGGCCCCTCCCAGGTGCTGGCCCCTCCCGGGTGCTGTCTCCTCACAGGTGTCCCCTCCCCACTGTCCCTTCCCAGTGCTGTCCCCTCCCGTTCTGTCTCTGCTGTCCCCGCTGTCCCCTCCCCTGTCCCCCATGCTGTCCCCCGTATTCTCCCTGTGCTGTCCCCCATGCTGTCCCCATACTGTCCCCACCCCTATCCCCACTGTCCCCATGCCGTCCCCTGTACTCTCCCCGTGCTGTCCCCACACTGCCCCCGTGCTGTCCCCTCCCCTGTCCCCTCCCCTGTCTCCACGCTGTCCCCACCATCTCGCTGTAGAAGCTCAGGCTCCCCCCGAGCAGCCGGGCCAGGTCGCCGCTCTCGGCCACTCGCCCCAGCCACAGCCACACCCGCACCTGGGCCTGGCTGTCCCCGCAGCCCTGAGTGACACAGAGAGTGGCAGAGTGTCACCAAGGGGCGGGGACACGTGGGGATGTGCGGAGTGGGGACGTGGGGGGGACACAGAGCAGGGACCTGGAGGAGATGAGGTGGGAATAGAGAGGGGACGTGGAGAGGGACAGAGGGGACATGGAGGGGACAAGGAGGGACAGCAGGGGACACGGAGGGACAGCAGGGGACACCAAGGGACACGGAGGGACAGCAGGGGACAGCAGGGGACACAGAGGGACACGGAGGGACAGCAGGGGACAGCAGGGAACACTGAGGGACAGCAGGGGACACGGAGGGACAGCAGGGGACACCAGGGGACACGGAGGGGACAGCAGTGGGAGCCCCCACCAGGAACAGGGTGAGGATCCTCCCGCAGAGGCGGCCGCAGGCACCGGGGCCGTGCGGGGAGTGCAGGACATCGGTGGCGGGGACACGGGCCGAGGCCACCCGGAGCTGGCCCTGCAGCAGCCACAGCTGCACGTCGGGGACACCGGCCTGGGGCTGTGGGGACACGGGGACAGGGGTGAGAGCGGCACCGGAACGGGGACAGGAACCGCCCCAGAGGGGCCCCGGGCACACCCAACCTCAGCACGGTGGGGCTGGGGTTTGTCCCCCTTTGGGGTTTTCGGCGTCACCTCCACGGCCAGCGCGGCCGCGCGCCGCAGCCACCCCTGGGCCATCGTCCCCAGGGTGTCCCCGTGCCGGGCCTCGGCCCTGGCCTCGCGCTGCAGCCGCTGCAGGAGGCGGCGCCGGCAGCTCCGGAGCTGCTGGTCCAGGGCAGTCAGAGCGGGCTGTGCCTCCAGGTACTGCAGGGCGGCCCTGCAGGGCCCAGAACAGCCCAAAATCACCCCAAAATCACCCCAAAAACATCCCAGAATCACCCCAAAACCACCCCAGCCCAGGGCAGCCCTGCAGGGCCCAGAACAGCCCAAAATCACCCCAAAAACGTCCCAGAATCACCCCAAAACCACCCCAGCCCAGGGTGGCCCTGCAACACCCAAAACATCCCAAAATCACCCCAAAATTACCCCAAAAAACATCCCAGAATCACCCCAAAACCACCCCAGCCCAGGGCAGCCCTGCAGGGCCCAGAACAGCCCAAAATCACCCCAAAATTGCCCCCAAAATCATCCCAGAATCAACCCAAAATCACCCCAAAATTACCCCCAAAATCAACCCAAAATCACCCCAAAAACATCCCAATCCAGGGCGGCCCAAACCAGCCCAAAAGCACCCCAAAACATCCCAAAATCATCCCAAAACACCCCAAAATCCCCAGTTTCACCCCCAAAATTCTTTGTCCCAACAATTCCTTGGTTTTCCCCCACACGCTCCATCCTCCCACCAAAAACCCCATTTCCACCCCAAACACCTCAGTCCCCCTCACCCCATTTCCACCCCAAACTGTCCTCCAGAATGTTCCACTGTCCCCCAAAGTGTCCCAGATTGTCCCAAATCCCCCCCAGCCCCCACTGCCAGCCCCATTTCACCCCAGATTCGGGATCCCCCAGCCCCAAACCCCAGCGCTGGCATTTGGGATCTCTCACTCGCAGTCCTGCTCCAGCTCCCGCAGCAGCTTTGTCCTGATGTCCCTGGTGGTGTCCTCGCGGTGTCCCTGCAGCTTGGCCAGGTTCCTCTCCTGGGAATGGCCCCAAAATGTCCCCAAAGGGATTTGGGGTCAATCCCACCCCAAACCGTTCCCACAGGGGTTTGGGATTGATCCCACCCCAAACTGTTCCCATATGGATTTGGGATCAGTCAGAGCCTAAACTGTCCCCAAATGGATTTGGGGTCAATCCCACCCCAAACCTTTCCCATTCAGGTTTGGGATCGATCCCACTCCATCCCAGCTGGATTTGGGGTCAATCCCACCCCAAACCATTCCCACTCAGGTTTGGGATTGATCCCACCCAGATTTGGGGTCATCTCCAGCTGGATTTGGGATCATTCCCACTCTGATTTGAGATCATTCCCAGCTGGATTTGGGATCAGTCCCACACAGATTTGGGGTCAGTCCTGCCTGGATTTGGGATCATTCCCACCCGGATTTGGGGTCAGTCCTGCCTGGATTTGGGATCAGTCCCACCAGAATTTGAGATCATTCCCAGCTGGATTTGGGATCAGTCCCACCCAGATTTGGGATCATTCCCACTCTGATTTGAGATCATTCCCAGCTGGATTTGGGACCATCCCCACCCGGATTTGGGGTCGGTCCCGCCCGGATTTGGGGTCGGTCCCACCCGGATTTGGGGTCTCACCAGGTGGTGGCACAGCGCTCGCAGGAGGTTCAGGCTGTCCCAGCGGTGCCCAGCGTCCTCCCACTGCGAGGTGACAGCGGCCACGGGTTTGTCCCCAAACCATGGCAGGTAGTGGTAGAGGTTCCCTACAGCCGGGAAAATCGGGAAAATCGGGAAAACCGGGGTCAGGACAGACCTGGCCACGCTGCTGAGGGGCGGCGGTGGCTTCCTGGGAGGTGTCACGGGATCATCTGAGATTCCCAAAGTGTCCCCTAATCCGTAGGTGACATCTCCCAGCGCCACCTAATCCATGTCCTCAACACCCCAAAACACCCCAAAATTACCTCAGCCCAGGGTGTCCTTGCAGCACCCCAAAATACCCCAAAATCACCCCAGAATCACACAAAAAACATCCCAAAACACCCTAAAATCACCTCAGCCCAGGACATCCTGGCAATGTCCCAAAACACCCCAAAGTAACCCAGAATCAACCCCAAACAACCCAAAATCCCCCAAAACATCCCCAAACACCCTAAAATCCCCCCAAAACCACCCCAAATCAGCCCTAAATAACCCCAAACCTCCCACACATGCGGCTCAAACCCTCCAATAATTACACCAATTAACCAATCCCGGCAACTAATCACCCCCGCGCTGTCCCACCGCCCCCTTCCCAAGTGCCACCACCCGCGGGGAGGCGACAGCGGCACCGGCGCCCCCCGGGCTGTCCCCGCTCACCGTCGAAGGCGGGCAGGGCGGGCGCGGTGGCGGCCGCGGCACTGCCCATGCCCAGCTCCAGGCTCAGCGCCCCGGGGCCGCCGGGCACGGCGGTGGCCGAGTAGAAAACGCCGCAGAGCCCCAGCGGGCAGCGGGGCAGGCGGCTCTGCGGCGAGGAGAAAGCCCAGGGCGCTCAGCTGGCGCTGCGGGGCGCGGGTGGCAGCAGCCCCGGGGTGTCCCCGTGTCCCCACCTGCGCCCGCTCGGCGTCCACGGGGGCCACGGCGTCGCGCTGGCGCCCGGGCGGGGTCCCCATGTGCGTGCAGAGCTCCAGCAGCAGCCGGCCCCGGAAAACCGGCCCCGAGTGCTGGGAAACCAGCCCGGGATGTGGGGTGGTCCCGCGGCCACCCCAAATGTCCCATTGTCCCCTAAAGTCCTGCCCCAACAATTCCTGTTTTCCCTTAAGTGTCCCGTTCTCTGTTCCCCCGTCCCATTTTCATCCCATTCTCTGTTACCCCCATCCCATTTTCACTCCATTCTATTTTCACCCTAAATGTCCCAGTGTCTCCTAAAGTCCTGCCCCCAAAATTCCTGTTTACCCTCAAATGCCCTGTTCTCCGTTTCCCATCCCATTTTCACTCCATTCTCTGTTCCCCCATCCCATTTACACCCCAATCTCCGTTTCCCCTATCTTATTTCACCCCCAAAGTCCCACTGGCCTTGAAAACATCCCAAATTCCCTTTCCCATTCCCCAAACCCTCACTGACAAGCCCATTCCCCTTCCAAACCCCCCGTTTCCTCCTGCACTGCCCCATTCCCACCCCAAACATCCCACGGCCCTCAGAAATCCTTCCTTTGCCCCAATAACTCCTGATTTTCCCCCCAGATGCCCCAATGCACCCCAAAAACCCCATTTCCCCCAAACCCTGCTCCGTACCCTGGCAGCATCCGCCCGGGGGCCGTAGAAGGGCAGGAAGCTGGGCCCGAAGGAGGGGAAGAACCCGGGGGTCCCCTCTGGGGGCAGAGAAAAGGGGGTTCAGGGTGGGCTCTGCCTCATGGGGACCCCAAAAAGGGACAGCCCCGCTCACCCTCGAGCTCGTCGGCACCCCGGGAGATTTGGGACAGCCTCAGGGTGGCTCTGCCCACGGCTTTGCTCCGGCACGACCTGGGGGGACACGGTCAGGGGTCCCCCGAACGCGGGGGGGGTCCCCAAACCCGAGGAGTGTCCCCTAATCGGGGGACGTCCCCCCAAACCCGCGGGGAGTCCCCCGATCCCGGGGATGTCCCCCAAACCTGGGGGTGTCCCCCAAACCCGCGGGGTGTCCCCCTCTCACCCACGCAGGATTTCCAGCAGGATCTCGTCACAGATGGGGGGCAGCTGCGGGGACAGAACAGCGCCGAGTGTGGCTGTGGAAATGGGGGTGTCCCCCTTTTTGGGGTGCCCCTGTTTGGGGCCGGGGCCGCTCCTCACCCGCAGCGGGAAGAACAAAGCCTCGTTCCACTCGGCGCTGGCATCGGCGGGCACCGCGCGGGTGCAGAGCTGCGGCGGGGACAGCCGTGAGTCCCCGGGAGGACCGGGCACCCCCAGGGCCCCCGGGCACCCCCAGGGCCCCCGGGCACCCCAAATCCCCCGCCCGGCGCTCACCGTCCTGCCCGCAAAGCCGACCCGCACCGACACCTTCAGCGCACCCGCGGAGCCGCCCAGGCACGGCCGCGCTGGCTCCGCTGCACAGGGATGGTGAGCAGCGAGATTTTGGGGGGTCCCCAAATCCATCCCCACCCCAAATCCCCCCCGGTTCCCACCCTGTGGCAAGCAGGGAGTCCCCAAATCCACCCTTCGCCCCAAATTCCCAGAGTTACCACTCAGTGTGGAGCAGGGGGGTCCCTAAATCCACCCTTCACCCCAAATTCCCCCATGTCCACCTTGTGATGAGAAGGGGGGTCCCTAAACCCACCCCCACCCCAAATCCCCGGTGTCCCCACTCTGTGGCAAGCAGGGGGTCCCCAAATCCACTCTTTACCCCAAATCCCCGCTGTCCCCACCCTGTGGTGAGCGGGGGGATCCCCAAATCTGCTCCCACTCCAAACCCTGATGTCTCCATCCCAATTCCTGATGTCCCCACCCCAATGTTCAATGTCCCCACCCCAATTCCCGGTGTCCCCACCCCACACTCCGATGTCCCCACCCCACAGCCCGGTGTCCCCACCGCAATCCCCGGTGTCCCCACGCCACAGCCCGGTGTCCCCACCCCGCGGCAGGTCCTCGGCGCGGAACACGCGGATCTGCAGCGTGGTGGCGCAGGGCGGTGGCCGCAGCAGGTTGGCCTCCACATCCTCATCGCCCGGCAGCACCTCCTGCTCCTGGGGGTGGGAAGGGGGGCAGGTGACAGCCTGGGGACCTCCAGGAGGGATTTGGGGGCGCGGCGGAGGGCGGGGCGCTCACCTGGGCGCGCTCCCCGGCGCGGCGCACCACCAGGCTGACCTGCAGGAAGCCCTGCGAGCGGCCGTCGCGGTGCCGCGGGTGCTGCAGGCTCAGCCACTTCCCGCTCAGGCTGCGCCCTGCCCGCCGGGGACACCGCCGTCACCTCCTCGGTGGCACCGGAGCCACGCCCGAAACCTCCCCAAAACGCGCGGTGCTCCCCCAAAATGAGGTTTCAGCCCTGGCCGGGGCCTGCCAGAAACACCTCCCGAAATGTGTCACCCCAAAGTGTGTCACCCCAAAGTGTGTCACCCCAAAGTGTGTCACCTAGTGCCACCCACCCCGTGCCACCCCAACCCTGTTGTTACCTGGGGCAGAGTAGATGGTGCCGACATCGAGCTGTGGGAATGGCAAAGGGGGTGAGAGTGCTCTGACAGCCCATTCCCAGTGCCCCATGCCCAAATCCCCAATTCCAAACTCCATTCCCAAACCCCAATCCCCAATTCCAATCCCCATTCCCAAACCCCAATCCCCCATTCCCAAACCCCAATCCCAATTCCCCATTCCAATCCCCCATTCCAATCCCCCATTCCAATCCCCCATTCCCAATCCCCATTCCCAACCCCAATCCCCCACTCCTCACCTCGAAGATGCCGATGACGGGTTTGGTGCAGATGTTTGGTGAACGGAGCACCTGGGACAGGGAAGGGGACAGGGCTGTCCCTGTGTCCTTGTGTCCCTGCCCCTGTGTCCCTGTGTCCCTGTCCCCCCAGTGCCACCTCTCCGTCCCACCTGGATCTGGATGGGCTGTGCCACCAGCTGCTCCGGCGTCACGTGGAAATCCTGGCAAAACACCTAGAGCCCAGAGAAGGGACAGTGAGGGCGGGCCGAGGGACAGTGGCGGTGCCCGTGTCCCCTCCGCGGCGTCACCTCGTTGAAGTAGGGGTTGTTCCCGCTCTGGCTGCGGCTGCGGAAGTTCTGCTTCCCGATCTGCACCCTCACCACGGGTTTGATGGCGTTGCCCCGCAGCTGGCGGCCCTTGATGACCCTCACCCGGACCTGCGGGGTGGCACTGGCGTTGTGGCCATGAGGGGACGCCACCCCCCGGCTGCCGCCGTGCCTGTGGGTGCCATACCTGGAAATCCTCTTTCCTGTCTGCAGGTGCCACCCCCGGCGGCTCCAGGGCCACCTGGCCGTGCTCGGTGGTGACAGGGACGTCCCCGGCCGCGCCGTGCGGGTCGTGGTAGCAGCGGAGGGTGACGGTGCACTGCAAGGGGACAGGGACACGGGGACAGTGCCACCCCGGGGTGCTGTGGGGTGCGGTGGGGCTGGGCTCACCCCCGTGGGCCGGTCCCGGTGGTCCAGCAGCGGGATGTCCCTGACAGCCATCGGCAGCCTGGGGTTGGCCGCCAGCTCGCCCAGTGACACCGTGGTGGCACCCAGGTCCCTGTGGGAGTGGGGGACACGGTGAGGGTGGCCGCGGTGAGGGGTGGCCGCAGGGTGTCCCCCCGGGGCTGGCACTCACCCCTGGGGCAGCAGGCAGTCCCCACGCCACAGGCGCAGGCCCAGCGTGTCCGTGGCACTCAGGGGACACGTGTCCAGCGGCCACACCAGCTCCTGAGGGGGGTGACACGGCTCAGGGGGGTGACCCCATGTCCCTGTGCCACCACGGGTCACACTGGGGCCACCTCACCTCATTCCAGGTGAGGCTGCGCTCCTCGGGCACCACCTGGGTTCTCCTGGGGACCCCTGTGTGGGACAGGAGGGGTGGTGGCACCTCAGGATGGGGACATGTGGCAGCGAGCGTGGCCCTTGCTGCGTGGCCAGTGCCACCCGATGCCATGGCGTGTCCCACACCCCGCAGTGTTCCCAACCCCGCCGTACCTCGGAAGCAGACGGACAGCAGGACACCGGGACCGAAGCCGGTGGCCCCGGGAATGTTGACGGCGACCACGTGGCAGCGTAGCATGGCCACGGAGCGCTGGCACCGGGGACGGAGCTGTCACCAAGGGGGTGCCACCAACGGGGCGACCCCCGAGGCGCCGTCACCGGGGATGGCTGCAGGTTTGTCACCAGGGGGCGCCACCAATGTGCCACCCCCGAGGTTCGGGCACCGGCGGCAGGTTTGTCACCAAGGGGGTGCCACCAATGTGCCACCCCCGAGGTCAGGGCACCGGCGGCAGGTTTGTCACCGAGGGGCTGCCACCGCAGTGCCAGCCCCAGGTGCCACCAGCCCTCTGGCCAGCAGCACGGCGGTTGGCTCGCCGTGTCCGAGTGCCAACGGCGGGTGGCGGCGCGGGGGCTGTCACCGGTAACTGCGTCCCCGTGTCCCCACGCGGGACGCTCCGTGAGCCCGCGGGAGCGCGCAGTGCCCTGTGCGGGGGGCTGGATAAGCCTGGAGTGTCCTTTCCCAAGGGGACATTCCTGGGGACATCCCAGGGACATTCCCTGGTCCCGTGGGTCCTTTCCCACGGGGACATTTCCCGATTCCCGCGGGTCCCTTCCCACGGGGACATGCCGCGGTCCCGCGGGAGCGCGCCCGGCGCACGCACATTGAGGGGAAGCGGGAGCGCGCCCCGCGCACGCGCGCTGAGGGGAGGCCGGGGAGGCGGGAGCGCGCCCCGCGCACGCGCGCTGAGGGGCGGGCGGCGGCGGCGGCGCCGTGAGGGGAGGGCGGAGGGGGCGGGGCTCCCGCCATGTCGCAGCGCGCCGGGGACCGCGATCGCGACAGGGAGCGCGAGCTGCAGTGGTCGGCCCGCAGGATGGGCACGTCGCTGCTGCTGCAGCTGTCGGCGCACGAGCGGGAGCTGGACCTGGTGTGCCTCGACCACAGCTACGCCAAGCCCTGGAGCGCGCACCCCGACGCCAGCGCCGCCCGGCCCGCCCGGCTCCTCTTCCTCACCCCGCGGAGGCACCTCGGCAGCGCCCCGTGAGAGCCCGGGCGGCGGAGGGGATGGCAAGGGGTGGGAGGGGGGAACTGGAGGGGTCCTGTGGGCCTGTGAGGGGAAGGGAGGGGGTCCTGTGGAGTTGTGAGGGGATCTTGAGAAGCTGAGGGGGAAATTAGGGGAGTCCTGTAGGGCTGAGGGGCCTGTGAGGGGAAGGGAGGGGGTCCTGTGGAGTTGTGAGGGGATCTTGAGAAGCTGAGGGGGAAATTAGGGGGGTCCTGTAGGGCTGAGGGGCATGTGAGGCTGAGGGGGAGACTGGGGGGTCTCCTGTAGGGCTAAGGGGTTGTGAGGGGAAAGGAGAGGGTCCTGTGGGTCTGGGTGGAGCCGTTTGGGGCCTGCAGGGGTCTTGAGGGGTGGGGAGAGGCGGGGCTGTGAGGGAGGAGTTGGGAGGTGCTGTGGGGCTGGGGGTGGTCATAAGGGCGAGTGGGGGAATTGTGAGGGGGAAACTGGGGGCCCTGATGGCCTGGGGTGGGATCCTGATGGGTGAGGGGGGGCACTGAGGAGTTTCGGTTTGGGCTGTCCAGAGGTCTCAGTTTGTGGTGGCCAGGGGCCATGGTTTGGGGGTCCAGGGGCTGTCGTTTGTGGGCTCCAGCAGTCTCAGTTTGGGGCTCCAGGGGCTCAGTTTTGGAGCTCTAGGTTTGATGATCCAGGATGTTTGGTTTGGGGCTTCAGGGAGATCGGTTTGGGGGTCCACGATAAATTGGTTTAGGGGCCCAGAGGTCTCAGTTTGTGATGTCCAAGGTGCTTGGTTTGGTGCTCCAGGAGCTGGGTCAATCCCACCCTGTGCAACCCTGGGAGTGCTGGGATCCCCCAAACCCCCTGGATGCCCCCGGGGTGCCCCATCCTTGCCCTGACCCGCGTGTGGGTGGCAGGGAGGCCGATGTCCCCATTGACGTGGAGACGGTGACGCCGACGCCGATGCCGCTGTACGACAACCAGAAGGCTCGGAGCGTGATGAACGAGTGCGAGCGGCACGTCATGTTCGCCCGCACCGACGCCGACGCGCCCCCGCCGCCCGATGACTGGGAGGAGCACGTCAACAGGTGGGGATCTGGGCTGGGAACGGGAATAGGGGCTGGGAATGGGAATAGGGGCTGGGAATGGCAGGGGATAGGGGCTGGGAACGGGAATAGGGGCTGGGAACGGCAAGGGATGGCAGGGAATATGGGCTGGGAATGGGAATAGGGGCTGGGAATGGGAATATGGGTTGGGAGTAGCATGTCAACAGGTGGGAATATTGGTTGGGAATGGGAATATGGGCTGGGAGGAGCACGTCAACAGGTGGGAATATGGGCTGGGAATGGGAATGTGGGCTAGGAATGGGAGTATGGGCTGGGAATGCCATGGAATGTGGGCTGGGAATGGCAGGGGATATGGGAATATGGGGTGGGAATGGGAATATGGGCTGGAAATGGCAGGGGATATGGGAATGGGAATATGGGCTGGGAATGGGAATATGGGCTGGAAATGGCAGGGGATATGGGAATGGGAATATGGGCTGGGAATGGGAATATGGGCTGGTAGGGAGGAGCATGTCAAGAGGTGGGAATCTGGGCTGGGAATGCCATGGAACAGTAGGGAATATGGGCTGGAAATGCCATGGAATCCAGGCTGGGAATGGCAGGGAATATGGGCTGGGAGGAGCATGTCAACAGGTGGGAATGGCAGGGAATCCAGGCTGGGAAGGCCAGGGAATATGGGCTGGGAGCGCCAGGGAATCTTAGTTGGGAATTCCGGGGAATGGGAGTCCAGGCTAGGAGGAGCACATCAGCAGGTGGGGTGGCAGCTCCAGAGCAGAGGAAGCAGGAGTGGTTTGGTGGTTTTGGGTGACCCCGCTGTGTCTGTCCCCGCAGGACGGGCTGGACCATGGCCCAGAACAAACTGTTCAACAAGATCCACAAAGCGCTGCAGTCGGACAGGCTGGCCCGCCTGGCCAACGAGGGGGTGAGAGCGGCTGGGCTCCAGCCTTGCTGCAAAACCTGGGGTGGTCAGCGTGGGAACTGTGGCCTTGGGGTGGCCTTGAGGAACGGGCAGCTCTGGGCTTTGTGGTTTTTGTGGGATCATAGAATGTCCTGGGCTGGAAGGGACCCACCTGCATCATCAGTGCAACCCCTGGCCCTGCACACCCCAAAATCCAAAGGCTCCTGGAGCTCTGGCAGCCTTGGGGCCGTGCCCGTTCCCTGGGCAGTGCCCAGCATGCTCTGGAGACAGAACCTTTCCCAAAATCCAGCCTGAGCCTGCCCTGGCCCAGCTCCAGCCATTCCCTGGGTCCTGTCCCTGTCCCAGGAATCAGAGCTTCCCCTTGGAAGTTCTGGATTGCTCTGAGGGTTCCCCTCAGCCTCCTCCTCAGCCAGATGTTGTCCTCACTCCAGATGTTTGGGCAGCCCACGCTGACATTTCCCTGGGGATGGGACTGCAGTGCCATGCTCCATCTTCCTTCCCCTGAACTGTTTGTTGGGAATTCCTGCTTGCAGGCCTGCAACGAGCCTGTGCTGAGGAGGATTGCTGTGGATAAATGTGCCCGCAGGGTGCGCCAGGCCCTGGCCAGCGTCAACTGGGACACCAAACTCATCCAGTGGCTCCACACCACGCTGGTGGAGACCCTGAGCCTGCCCGTGCTGGCTGCGTACCTGGATGCCCTGCAGACCCTGAAGGGAAAGGTGATAAAAGCAGGGGGAGGCTTGGCTGTCACAGCTGGCAGAGGCTGGAATTGCTGTCCTGTGCTTTGGGGGTGTTTTCTCACTGCCCCCGGGCTCTGTTTGCAGATCCCTGCGCTGATTGACAGGATGCTGCTCTCCTCCACGGCCAAGACGGGAGCAGCGGGGGCTGAGGCGCTGTCCCTGCTGCTCAAGAGGCCCTGGGACCCAGCAGTGGGTGTCCTGTCCCATAATAAACCAGTGAGTGCCCTGGGGGGTGTGGGGGTGCCATGGCAGTTTCAGTCTCCCCATGCTCTGCCTCTGTCCTCTCCCTGGGCTCTTCTGCCCCTGATTTACACCTGCTCTGTGAATGGAAGGGACCCACCAGGATTATCAATCCCACCCCTGGCCCTGCACAGACATCCCAAAATGCCCCCCTGGCAGCCCTGCACAGACACCCCAAAATCCAAAGGCTCCTGGAGCTCCGGCAGCCTCAGGGCCGTGCCCGTTCCCTGGGCAGTGCCCAGCACCCTCTGGGGACAGAACCTTTCCCAAATCCCACCCTGAGCCTGCCCTGGCCCAGCTCCAGCCATTCCCTGGGCCCTGTCCCTGTCCCAGGGAGCAGAGACCGGAGCTGTCCCTCAGAAAGGAGAGTCCCTTCTGTTGGAGAAGTTCTCCTGCGTATCCTGAGGGAGCTTTGGGAAGACAATCAATGAAGGAGCTGTGCAAGATCCTTCCCTCTTCCTCGTGGGGCAGGGAGCCTTTCCTGGGAGCGCTGCTGTCCCTGTCCCTGACAGGCTCTTCCTGTTGGACCTTGCAGAGCAAACTGCCCGGGTCCCCCCTGATCCTCATCGCGTCCTCCGGCCCCGCCAACTCCCTGTTCCCCACGTCCCGACGGCACCGCTTCTGGCAGTCCCAGCTCTCCTGCCTGGGAAAGGTCTGTGGGGCTGGATCTGTGGGGCTGGCTCTGTAGGGTTCCTCTGTGGGGCTGGATCTGTGGGGCTGGATCTGTGGGGCTGGATCTGTGGGGCTGGATCTGTGGGGCTGGATCTGTGGGGTTCCTCTGTGGGGTTCCTCTTTGGGGCTGGATCTGTGGGGTTCCTCTGTGGGGCTGGATCTGTGGGGTTCCTCTTCGGGGCTGGACCTGTGGCGGTCCTGCCGTTGTCCCCAGCCCTGCTGGCTGTTGCTGACGCTGTCCCCAGCCCTGCTGGCTGTCCCTGACGTCCCCTTTCCCTCCCAGGTGATCCCCATTGCCACGTCCCTGCTGAACAATGGCAGCGGGGTGGGGGTGCTGCAGTGCCTGGAGCACATGATCGGCGCTGTCAGGGGCAAGGTGGCCGAGGTGAGGACAGCAGGAGGTTCCCCCGTGCCCCCTGCCCCCGGTGCCACCCTGGGCATCGTCCCAGTGTCTGTCCCAGCTCTCCAGCTTTGTTTTGTGTCCCACAGATCCACAACCACTTCTCTCACAAGCAGATCATCCTGATCGGGTGGAACACGGGTGCCTTGGTGGCCTGCCACGTGAGTGCCCCAGTGCTCTGTGTTCCTGGGGCACAGGAGGGGTGGGGCTCTGTCAGAGCAGCTCCAGAGGAGGCCACGGAGCTGCTCCAGGGCTGGAGCCTCTGGAGCAAGGCTGGGAGAGCTGGGAGTGCTCACCTGGAGAAGGGAAGGCTCCAGGGAGAGCTTCCAGCACATTCCAGGGCCTGAAGGGGCTCCAGGAGAGCTGGAGAGGGACTGGGGACAGGGGATGGAGGGACAGGACACAGGGAATGGCTTCAAACTGGGAAAGGGGAGATGTAAATGGGATTTTGTGAAGGAATTCCTGGCTGGGATGGAATTCCCAGGGGAGCTGTGGCTGGAAGTGTCCCAGGCCTGGCTGGAGCAGCTGGGACAGTGAGAGGTGGAATGGGATGGGCTCCAAGGCCCTTCCCAAACCATTCCAGGGTTCTGTGATTCTCCCAGAGCCCCTTGGCAGCCTCAGCTCAGGGATGGATTTCAGTGGCTGCTGGGGTTCTCTCTGTCCCTGTGCCCATTCCAGGGCCTGGCTTTGACCTCTGTGTCATGGGCCCTTTGCAATTTGAGTCATTTAATCACTGTGTTAATTACCAAGGTGTTGTTATTAAGACTTTAAGAGCAACACTTTGGTAATTAACAGGCAGGAGCCTGGCAAAGCAGCCTTCATTCCTGGGATGTGCTGGGCTCTGGGGATGCTGCCCTGGGATGGGATGTGTCCCTGCTGGGGATGCTGCCCTGGGATGGGATGTGTCCCTGCTGGGCTCTGAGGATGCTGACTGATGGGATGTGTCCCTGCTGGGGATGCTGACTGCTGGGATGTGTCCCTGCTGGGGATGCTGACTGCTCTCTCCCTGCCCAGGTGTCTGTGATGGAATATGTCACTGCTGTCGTGTGCCTTGGCTTCCCCCTGCTCACTGTGGACGGCCCCAGAGGGGTAAGGATCAGGTGGAGCTGCTTAAAGAGCTCTGCTTGTCTTTTTTTGTGGAATGGTTCCTGGATACTTGGCTGATTTTTGGGGGGAGTGTGGGTGTGACTGTTGTTTGGAGCAGCTGTTGCTCTCAGAGGAGGGGCTGTAGCAACCCTGGTGGGATTCTTGATCCATGGCTGGTGTGAGGATCTTGTCACCTTGTGCTCTTGGCTTGTCTCTGCTGTGGTGGGGTTTTGGAGCTGCTTCCTGGGGGCCTGGATCCATCATTATCCAGGGCCTGGATCCATCATTATCCAGGGCCTGTGTCCCTTGTTATCCATGGGCTGGCTCCATTATCCCTGTCCTGTGTCCCTCCTTATCCCTGTCCTGGCTCCATTATCCAAGTCCTCTGTCCCTTGTTTTCTGTGTCCTGTGTCCCTTGTTATCCATGGCCTAGCTCCCTCTTTATCCCTGTCCTGTGTCCCTCTTTATCCCTGTCCTGCTCCATTATCCCTGTCCTGTGTCCCTTGTTATTTGTGTCCCTCTTTATCCCTGTCCTGGCTCCCTTATCCCTGTCCTGTGTCCCTCATTTTTCTGTGCCATTTCCACGGAGCCCACATTTGTCCCTTTTGGGTGTGACTGGACAGGGACTGGTGATGGCCACAGCCAGGCTGGGGAGTGGCTCCTTGCAGGGGCACTGGAATTCCATTGGAAAGGCTCCATTCAAGGCTCCATTCAAGGCTCCATTTCCTGCAGCTCGAGCAGAGTCTCCCTCTGGCCTCAGTAAATCCCGTTGGGCCTCACCCCTGGGAGCTCCTCAGCCCCGTGCTGGGGCTGCAGCTCCATCCCTGCCCTGTTGCAGGATGTGGATGATCCCCTCCTGGAGATGAAGACCCCGGTGCTCTTCGTCATCGGGCAGAACTCCCTGCAGTGCAACGTGGAGGCCATGGAGGATTTCCGGGAGAAGATCCGGGCGGACAACAGCTTGGTGGTGGTGGGAGGAGCAGATGACAACCTCAGGTGAGGCTCTGCCAGCTGGGCTCTCTCCTCTGGGAATTCTGGGCAGCACCTGGGCGGGCTGGGGATGCCAACCCCAAATCTGGCGCTGCAACAAGGTGGGAATTGCATGGGAATACTTCAGACTTGTCTGTGTTGGGAATAACTGCAGGAAAAACTTGTATGGGAATGGGCCTGACCTAGGGCTGGGCCTGGTTTAGGGCTGGGCTTGGTTTAGGGCTGCACCCAGCAGTACAGAGGAGCTTTTGGAGCATCACAGGAGCCAGGGATCTCTAGCAGTGAAAATCCATAAAGGAGAGGAAGGAAAGAAACCTTAAACTGACACTGGGTGCGAAGGCAGAGCTCTGAAATGTCAGATTGGCTTTGCAAAACGCTTTGGGGAGTTGCAGAAAGGATCTTTGTCCTCATCAGGTGAAGGATGCTCGTGGAAAAGTGTGGATTCCCACCTGGTTTGGTGCTTTTTTTCCCCCAGGATAAGCAAAGCCAAAAAGAAGGCAGAAGGCCTGACCCAGAGCATGGTGGACAGGTGCATCCAGGTACCCACAGGGATCAGGCAAAGGAAGGAGTCAGTGCTGGAGTGTCCCAGGTTACAGCAGGGATGGGCTGGATTGGAGGGAATCTTCTCCTCAGGGGGTTTGGAAGGGAGGTGTGGGATCCCTGGGGGTGCCCCTTAGCCTGAGCAGTTTCCTGAGTGTCCCAGCACATCTGCTTGGGGGCACAGCAGCATTTTGGGAGAAACCACTGTGGTTTTTCCCCACAAGTCCTAAATCAGTGCTTTGTGGGCTTCACTGAGAAATCTCCATTCTCTCTGTGAGCTTTTGGGGATTTCCTGCAGAATTCCCAACCCACAGAGCCTTACCCATGTGTCCCCTTGGGAATGCCTCATTCCCTCGCTTCGAGCTGTGGGAGATCCATTGCTCAGAGAGCTGCCCAGCCCTGAATCCCAGTGTTTCTCCCAAAATTCCCAGGATGAGATTGCAGACTTCCTGACGGGGGTGCTGACGCGGGCCGAGAGCCACTCGGGCTCCGAGCCCCGCGACCTGGATGCCGAGAGGAAGAAGAAGCCCCGTGAGTGCAGCAGGAGGGACCTGTCCTTCGAGCTGCCCGAGAGGAGCAGCAGACCTGCCTCCCCTGCAGCCAAAGTGCCAGCCTCACCCTCAGGCTCCGAGGTGGGGGCTCTTCCCAGCCTCATTCCAGCTGGGGGTGTGCAAACAGGGGGTTTTGTGCCACCAGAATCCCCCAAATCTGTGCTGAGCTTTGGGAGGGAGGGGTGAGAGGGTACCTGGGGGATGTGGCCTCAGGGGAGCTTTAGATGAGAGACTTGGGAAAATTAAATCTCCCAAATCTGTGCTGAGTGCTGGGAGAGAGAGGTGAGAGGATACCCAGGGGATGTGGCCTCAGGAAAAGGTTTAGCTGAGAAATTTGGGAAAATTAAATCCCCCAAATCTGTGCTGAGCGTTGGGAGAGGGAGGTGAGAGGGTACCCAGGTCCTCAGGGAAAGGTTTAGATGAGAGATTTGGGAAAATTAAAACCCCCAAATCTGTGTTGAGCATTGGGAGAGGGAGGTGAGAGGGTACCTGGGGGTTGTGGCCTCAGGGGAGCTTTAGATGAGAGATTTGGGAAAATTAAATCTTCCAAATCTGTGCTGAGCGTTGGGAATGAGGGGTAAGAGGACACCCAGGGGGATGTGGCCTCAGGGGAGCTTTAGATGAGAAATTTGGGAAAATTAAATCTCCCAAATCTGTGCTGAGTGTCAGGAGAGGGAGGTGAGAAGGTACCCAGGGCCTAAGGGGAAGTTGAGATGAGAGAGTTGGGAAAATTATCCCATGGTTGTGAGGCTTTGGAACAGGCTGGTGGAGTCACCAGCGCTGGGATGTTCAGAGCCCAGCTGGGTGTGGCTCTGGGGACAGGGGTGGCCCTGCTGCTGACAGTGGCTCTGGATCCTGAAGGTCTTTCCAGCCTCAAAACCCCCCGGATTCCCACGGTGAGGGCAGGGAGTGCTCAGGGCCAGGGCTGCCCGGGCAGACGTTGGCTGAGTGTCCGTCTGTCCCGGCAGGACCTGTCCAGCGTGTCCAGCAGCCCCACGTCCAGCCCCAAGACCAAGGTGGCCGCGCTGGCGCTGCCTAAGCCTGGCCAGGTGGGCCCCACGCAGCTGCAGAGGAGGCCGGTGCCGAGGCCCGACACCGTCCTGAGCCACAAGCAGGCACAAGGTAACAGCTCCCTGCAGCTTCCCACCCTTCCAGCTGCTGCAGTCTGGGCTTTTCTCTCTCTGTCTCTCTCTTGACTTGTGGAGGTTTTTGTTTTCTCTGTGCTGTGCTGAATTCCAAGCTCCCTGTGGCAGCTTTCTCTGCAGCTCAGCGCCTGTCAGTGCTGGAGGCTTGGAATTGGGTTGCAAATGGTGTTTCTGCAGCTTGTGGAGCCTTGCTGCTGTTGGGACTGGGAAGGATTTTCTCTCTGGCTGAGCCTGTAGCCGTGCTCTGATCCTTTTGGGGCATCCTGGCCTGGTGTCTCCTTCAGGGCTGCCTGGGGAGACTCTGAAGGTGCTCAGGAGATGGTTGAGGCTGCTGAATTGAGGTGGAAAATGTGGGATTTGGGGGGTTCCAGAACCATCCTGTGCAAAACCTGCTGTGGAGAAGGAACCAGCTTGAGCTGTGGGGTTTTGTGGTTTTTGTTGAAAAGCTTCAGTCTGGTGACCTTTGGGAGTTCAGGGAGAGCTTTTGTGGCTGAAGAGCCCTCCTGGCAAATCCCAGCAGCACCTGGGGGATGGCTCTGCATCCTCCCTTCTCTCCTTGCTGTGCTCAGGGCAAATCTGGACAGGTGTCACCTTCAGCAGTGACCCTGCAGGTCCATCATTGTCACCTGCAGCTGTGACCTTGCAGGTCCACCATTGTCACCTGCAGCTGTGACCCTGCAGGTCCATCCTGCAGCTGTCACCCTGCACACCCATCATTGCCACCTGCAGCTGTGACCCTGCAGGTCCATATTGTCACCTTCAGCAGTGACCCTGCACACCCATCATTGTCACCTGCAGTTGTGACCCTGCACACCCATCATTGTCACCTGCAGCAGTGACCCTGTACACCCATCATTGTCACCTGCAGCAGTGACCCTGCAGGTCCTTCCTAGCTTGGGGATGGGCTCCAGGGGGAAGCTGGAGCTTGGCTCTGCCTTCGTTCCTCAGCCCAGGGACTGAAGGGTCGTGTTCCTGAGGGAGGCACTTCCCAGGGGACACAGGGGACACAGGAGGAGGCTGTGTCAGGACCAGGACAGGATCTGTGTCCTGGTGCCTGGTTTGATTGGGAATAAAAGCAGGGGTGGTAATTCTTGATGCCTGGTTCTGTCAGGAATGCTGGGGTGATTCCCAGTGCCAGGTTCTGTCAGGAATGCTGGGGTGATTCCCAGTGCCTGGTTCTGTCAGGGATGCTGAGGTGATTCCCAGTGCCTGGATCTATCAGGAATGCCATGATGATTCCTGGTGCCTGATTTTCTCGGGAATGCTGTGGTGATTCCCATCTGGAGCTGCTCAGGGCACTGCTGGCTCCCATCTCCCAGCTGCTCTCAGGCCCTCAGTTCAGCCCTGCCCAGCCCAGCCCTGCCCAGCCCTGCCCAGCCCAGCCCTGCCCTGCTCCTCTCAGCCCTGTCCCACTGGCTGTGTCAGGCTCTTTGTGCTCCCATGGCTGGATCTGTCCTGTCCAGAGCTCTGCCTGCTCCAGGGTCCCCTCTCGGTGTCCCCAGAGCCAGGTCTGTGATTCTGTGATTCTCTCTGATTCATTTCAGCTCAGTTTGCTGCTTTTCTGAAACAAAACATGCTGGTGAGGAAAGCTCTTCCTCCTGGCACCTCCTCATGTCTCTTTGGTGAGTATCTCCTCACTCCTCTCTGCCTGTCTCCGTCCTCTCTGGCTCTGCTGCCTTCCTCCATCACCCTCCTCTTCCCCTTCCTCTGGGGCTGTGTCCCCAGCGTGTCCCTGCTGTGTCCCCTCGTCCCCTGCTTTGTGCTTCTCTGCTCTTTGGAGCTCCAGCCCAGGGCCCTCTTTGCCAGCAGAGATCTCAGGCTTTGCTGAGCTCCTCCTGCCCCCATGGATAAATCTCAGGCTTTGCTGATGGATCCTTGATGGCCTTGGGAAGGTTCTGATGGATCAGGAATGGCTCTGGGAAGGCTCTGATGGATCAGGGACGGCTCTGGGAAGGTTCTGATGGATCAGGGATGGCTTTGGGAAGGCTCTGATGGATCAGGAACGGCTTTGGGAAGGTTCTGATGGATCAGGGATGGCTTTGGGAAGGTTCTCATGGATCAGGAATGGCTCTGGGAAGGCTCTGATGGATCAGGGATGGCTCTGGGAAGGCTCTGATGGATCAGGAATGGCTCTGGGAAGGCTCTGATGGATCAGGGATGGCTCTGGGAAGGCTCTGATGGATCAGGGATGGCTCTGGGAAGGCTCTGATGGATCAGGAATGGCTCTGGGAAGGTTCTGATGGATCAGGGATGGCTCTGGGAAGGCTCTGATGGATCAGGAATGGCTCTGGGAAGGTTCTGATGGATCAGGGACGGCTCTGGGAAGCTCCCAGGGGACACAGAGGGACACGCCAGGGTCCCTGCCTGTGCTCTGAGGGACACCTGGTGCCCATGATGTGCCACTCGCTCCTGCCTGGCTGCTGGCCCTGGGCTGGGGCTCTGGGGCCTGCAGGGCTCTCCTGGATGCTTTGGATGCTTTGGGGAGCTGGGACTGTTGGGAACTCTCAGCACTGCAGGCTGGGGCCAGGGGCTGTGCCCCAGGGGTGGCAGGTGTGGCTTGGCAGGCTGTGGCAGCTCATGGCCGTGTCCCTGGGCTGCACCTGGGGCTCCTCTGTGCTTCTTGGGGTCACCCTGGCCTCGGGGAGCTTGTGCTTGGGGCAGGGAACTCTCAGCTGTGGGGTTCCTGCCCCAGGCCCTCGCAGTGTGGGGTTTTGGGGCTTGGCTTTGCTGCAGCAGCTCCTCGGCTTCGCTTGGTGCCTCTCCAACGCTGCCCAGCTCCTGCAGGGACCTGGGGCATCCTGGGCTGTGCTGGAGCTGCAGCTGAGCCCTGACCCTCTGTGCCTGCAGGCCCTCACCTTGTCCCTGCCCAGCCAGGATTTTGGGGTGCAAATGCCCCTGTGGGGCTGAGGCAGCCGTGCAGAGCCAGGGCACCCCTGGCAGCCCTGGGGTCTCAGGGGGTTCCTGTGCACAGGAGCTGGGCAGGCTGGCACAGAGGGAGCTGGGCACGGGCACCTTCCCCTCCTGGCACCCCGAGCACCCTGGGCACTCCAAGAGCCCCTTCTGTGTCCCCCAGTGTCAGCGGCCCCCGAGCACTCGGAGGGGGCTGGCAGAGATGATGTGAGAGTGCAGCTGAAGAGGCGGCAGAGCCCCAGCCCGAGCCCTCCGTGCACCAAAACCTCCAAACGAGCCAAAATCAAGGTGACCATTGTGTCCCACGGCGATGCCACGGGCACCGGAGCAGCCCTGAGCACCCAGGCTGAAAGTGAGTTGGCACCTGGCTGTGGCACCTGGCAGGGCCTGCTGGGGAGGGAGCTGTGCTTTGGCAGGCCTGGCTTTCCTTAGTCCTGGTTTCTCCTGAGCCCTGCTTTTTCCCTAGCCCTGCTTTTTGGAGGATTTAGCTGCAGGGAAAGGTGGAGACACCAGGTGTGAGTGGCTGGGGGGGACCTTGGCAGGAGCCTTGGAAACAGCCTGGAGCTGGGAGGGGATCCTGCACCTCCCTCTGCTCAGGCACCTCCTTCTGGAGGCCTGGAGCTGCTGCTGGGAGCAGGATGGGTGCTGGTGCTGCTGGGAGCTACTGGGAGCAGGATCCTGGTGCTACTGGGAGCTGCTGGGAGCAGGATGGATCCTGGTGCTACTGGGAGCAGGATGGATACTGGTGCTGCTGGGAGCTATGGGAGCAGGATACTGGTGCTGCTGGGAGCTACTGGGAGCAGGATACTGGTGCTGCTGGGAGCAGGATGGATACTGGTCCTGCTGGGAGCAGGTTCTGGTCCTGCTGGTGCTGCTGGTGTTACTGGGAGCAGGGTGGGTACTGGTTCTGCTGGGAGCAGGATGGATACTGGTGCTGCTGGGAGCTGGGTTCTGGTGCTGCTGGTGCTGCTGGGAGCTGGGTTCTGGTGCTGCTGGTCCTGCTGGTCCTCTCTCTACATTCCCCATGCCTGAACCCCTGAGGGATCATGGTGCAGTTGCTCCCTCTGCAAGAGTTCTGTGCCCTCCTGATCCCCCACTCTGCTGATCCCCCTGGGCTGGAGTGGGGCAGGCACCCCTGGGATTCCCATCCCAGCAAATCCCAGCTCCCACCCTGTCTCTGCACCTGGAAAATGCCCAGGAAGGGCTGGTGGGCTCCATCTTCCTGCCACAAGACACAAATCCACATCCTTCTGGAAGGTTTCGCTTCATCTTCTGGCAGCTTTGAAAACTTCTGCTTTCCAGAATCAAAATTTAATTTTTTTTTAATTTTATTTTTTAATTTTCCAAACTTTACTTCTTTCCACAGAAAGGAAATGAGTTGCAGAAGTAATCATGAACCCAAACAAGGATTGCCTCTTTGCCAGGAGCAATGCCCAAGGAAGGAATGCAGTTGTACCCCCCAATGCTGCAATAAACAAATGAACAAATTCCGTGACTTGTCGCATCCCTGTGTATTTTGTAAAGTGTCCTGAAGCAAGAATCCTTACAAAATCACCCAGATCCCAGCAATCCATCCATGGAACAGGAGGGGATTTGTGGAGAGAACCTTTAGGAGAGAGATTTTCAATTGGTGCCAGGGGCCTGAGGTTCCTCGGGGATTTCAGGAGGGGATTCCTTCCCTCCTGCCTCTGGAATTCCATATTTCGTGTGTTCTAACTGGATTTTGCTCCTCCCAGACTGGGATTCCTGCAGAAGATGCTCTGGGAGCTGGATGGGTACTTGGCCAAGGGGGATCCCCGAGGGTTTGTGGGACAGGAGCTGAGCCTTCTCCTTTTTGTTTTGCAGTTGTCTCCGGGAAGCCGCTGCCCCTGGGCCAGGCCGTGCCCAGCACCAAGGAGCTCTCGGGGCTGCTCTCCACCCCCAAGTGAGTGGGAACTGGGGAGTTTTGGGGTCTTTCTCTCCTGCATGTGGAGTTTTCTGGCATGGGGGAGGCTCTGAAGCTCCTGGAAGCTCCGTGGGGCCCTGGCAGTGGAGGTGCTGTGGCTGTGTCTGCTGTGCCTTCCCAACCCCAGGTTTGTCTCTGTCTTTGTGGTGGCTTTGGCAGAAATTCTGTCTTTAACCCTTCCCTTCTGGCACCTTTGCAATACAAAGAACATTTTTGTTGCAAGGACAGGGGAGAGGAGCCTCAAAGCAGCTCTTGAAGGGCTTGAGCTGTGCACTGTTGGGGTGTAAATCTCACATTGACACCTTTTGTCCATCCTAAAATGGAAACATTTTCAGGCTTTGGGCAGCTGGGCTCTGGCTGATCCCGTTCCCAGAGGAACCATGGAGGTGCTGGACAGGGCTCAGAGTGACCTGGGACAGGGGGAGGTGTCCCTGCTGGTGGCACTGGGTGGGGCTTTAGGGCCCTTTCCAACCCAGACCATCCCAGGATTCTGGGATCAGGGTTGGAGAGGAAGAAGAGCTGGTTTCAAGTGAATAAAATTTATTTTTTATATAAAAAATAAATAAATAAATAAATGATTTTTAATAGAAAATATAAATAAATATATATAATATACATATGTTATATATTATATAAATATATATTTACATATATAAATATATATTTTATATGTATATAAATATATATAAATATATCTTTTTATATGTATATAAATATATATGAACATATATATAAGTATATATGTTTACATATATAAATATATATAAATATATATTAAATGTATATATATATATATATAAAATTTAAAAATATTTATAAAATTAAATTTTAAATAAGTAAAACGTGGGGTTTAGGCAGGGACAGTGCCCTGCAGGCTCAGTGCCTTTGGGGCAGGGTGACTCTGGGAGGTGAGCACAGCCACCAAATTCTCTCCCACTTTGGAAATCCAGGGATTTGGCAGCTGCCCTGGAAGCTTCTCTTGGAATCGATGATATTTAGGGTTTTTCCCAGCCCTGCTGTGCTTGCCCAGCTCAGCTCCCTCAGTTCCCTCAGCCCTGTCCCAGCCCTCAGCGGGGTCTCTCCCTTCCCTTTTAGGCTGAGCTCAAGCGCCGAGGCCTCGCTGAGCCCGGCCCAGCCGGGCATCCCCAGCAGCAGCGGCAGCCCCGGCTCCGCCCCCAGCGCCTTCCACGCCCTGCAGGGCCGGCTGGTGGCCGGCAGCAGCCACGGCCTGCCCGCCCAGGGCCCTGCCCTGCCAGGTACCGGGGACAGCTCGCAGGGGCTGGGGCGGCCTCTCCTCACCCTCCCGGCCTGGGCTGGGCTTGTGTGGGAAACAGCAGCACCCCAAATCCTGCTGTGCTCCACAGCCACCCCTCTGGGGCTCGGCAGGGACATGGGGCTGGGCCAGGGGGGTTGGGGTGGCATTTGGGAAAGGTCTGTCCCCAGAGGGGAGGAGGTTTGGGGTGGCATTTGGGAAAGGGTCTGTCCCCAGAGGGTGCTGGGCACTGCCCAGGGAATGGGCACAGCCCTGAGGCTGCCGGAGCTCCAGGAGCCTTTGGATTTTGGGGTGTCTGTGCAGGGTCCCAGGGTGGATTTTGGGGTCTCTGTGCAGGCTCCCAGGGCTGGATTGGATGATCCCAGTGGGTCCCTTCCCACTCAGGACATTCCCTGATCCCATAATCGAGCTGTGGGAGGATCCCCAGGTTGAAGAACAGCTCTGCAGCCCCAGGACAGCCCCAGAATTTGGTGCTGCTGACCCCTCCCAGGCTGACCTTGTCCTTCCCTGGGTTTCAGGAGCAGCCTCTGCCAGCAGCCTGCTCCAGGGGCTGAGCTTCAGCCTGCAGGACATGGGCACCAAGGCCTCCAGCCTGGCCCCCAGCGCGGCCGCCGCCGGCTCCCCTGTGCAGGTGAGGAGCCCCTGGAGAGCCCCCGGGGCAGGGGGAGCCTGGGCAGGAGATCAGGGCTGGCCCTGGGTGCTCTGAAAGGGCTCTGTGAGGAGCTGCTTCTGTGCAGGCAGCCCCAGACTGCTGAGCTGGCAGGGATCAGTGGGAAAAGCCACACTGGCACCTCTCAGGATCCCACTTTGTCCCACTCAGAGTTCCAGGGACAAATCCTCCAGGACCAGCCCTGCCTGGAGAAGTGTGGGACCCCCAAAGGTTCTGCTGGAGAGGGGAGTGGGCATCCCAGCCTGGCCTGGGCCTGAAGAGCTCAGGGGTGGGATTTGGGAAAGGGTCTGTCCCCAGAGGGACAGAGGACAGGGCTGCTCCTGTCCTTGCAGAGCTCAGCCTGGCCTGGCCTGCAGGAGCTCAGCTGTGCCCTCTGTCCTTGCAGGGCTCAGCACTGAATGTCCCTGGTGCCCTGCAGGAGCTCAGGGCTGCCCTGATCTCAGCTGTGCCCTCTGTCCTTGCAGGGCTCGGCGCTGAAGGCCCCAGGTGCCCTGCAGAGCCTGGCTGCCCTGATCCCAGCTGTGCCCTCTGTCCTTGCAGGGCTCAGCACTGAATGTCCCTGGTGCCCTGCAGGAGCTCAGGGCTGCCCTGATCCCAGCTGTGCCCTCTGTCCTTGCAGAGCTCAGCCTGGCCTGGCCCTGCAGGAGCTCAGCTGTGCCCTCTGGCCCTGCAGGAGCCCAGCTGTGCCCTCTGTCCTTGCAGGGCTCAGCGCTGAAGGCCCCAGGTGCCCTGCAGGAGCTCAGGGCTGCCCTGATCTCAGCTGTGCCCTCTGTCCTTGCAGAGCTCAGCCTGGCCTGGCCCTGCAGGAGCCCAGCTGTGCCCTCTGTCCTTGCAGGGCTCAGCGCTGAAGGCCCCAGGTGCCCTGCAGGAGCTCAGGGCTGCCCTGATCCCAGCTGTGCCCTCTGTCCTTGCAGGGCTCAGCGCTGAAGGCCCCAGGTGCCCTGCAGAGCCTGGCTGCCCTCAGCACCGACACCGCGGGCCCTGTGGTTCGCACCATCCCCGTGGCCGCCTCGCTGGCCCTGGGCGCCTCTGCCGGCGGCAAACCCACGGCCATCCAGCAGCTGCTGAGCAATGGGGGCCTGGCCAAGCTGGCCAGCAGCCTGCCAGGGCTGGCCCACATCTCCAACCAGGCTGCAGGTGAGTGAGGGACACACAGGCAGGGAGGAGCTGCTGGTGCCTGGAGCTTTATTCCCAAAGCTCCTCCTGCTCTGTGCTTCCCAAGAGGCCCCTCTGAGCCCTGTTTGGAGGTGGCCTCCACCATGCCTGTGTCTCAGGGACGTTTCTGTGTGCCCTGCAGGCCTCAAGGCCCCGGCCACCATCACGGTGACGCTGCGGGGACAGCCCGGCCGCGTGGGCACCCTGAGCCAGGCAGGGCTGGGCACAGCTCAGCCCCAGCTGGAGGAGCAGCCCCAGGGCCCTCAGGTAAGGGGGACACCTCTCCTTGTCCACCTGGGCAGCTCCTGGCCCTGCCAGGTGTGGCTGTTCCATGTCTGGGGTGTGAGGAAGGGGTGGCAGGAGCCAGGGCATTGTCACTGTGTCACTGTTCAGGCTTGATTGTCCTTGATACCATGGAACTGTGGGATGGTTTGGCCTGAGAGGGACCTCAAATCCCACCCAGGGCCCTTTTAGGGCTGAGAGGGACCTCAAATCCCACCCAGGGCCCTTTTAGGGCTGAGAGGAACCTCAAATCCCACCCAGGGCCCTTTTTGGGCTGAGAGGAACCTCAAATCCCACCCAGGGCCTTTTTTGGGCTCAAAGGGACCTCAAATCCCACCCAGGGCCCTCTTTGGGCTCAAAGGGACCTCAAATCCCACCCAGGGCCCTCTTTGGGCTCAAAGGGACCTCAAATCCCACCCAGTGCCACCCCCACCACAGCAGGGACACTGTCCCAGGTTGGTTTGGCTCCTGCTGCCCCAGACCTGACCCTGCACCTGTCGTGTCCAGGAGTTTCCAGGCAGAGTCCTGGATAAATCTCAGGATTTTGGGGTTTTCTTCCCTTGACCTTCCTGGGTCTCTTGCATTCACCGAGCTCAGAGCTTGCAGCCCAGAGCTGGTGCCCCTCAGGTCAGTGGGCACAGGTCTGAAATTCTGTGTCAGAGGCAGCTTTGGTGCTTCTCAATCCCCCTCAGAGCTGCTGTGCTGGTGTCCCTGTCACCTTGAAACCCTCTGGACACCCAGGAACAGGCCTGGCCCTGCTCTCCAGGCTGAGGCCAGCCAGGAAGGGGTTAATTTTTTGGATCCTGGCTTCCCTTTACAATGCTGAGCTTGTGTGTCCAAGGCTGGGCTCAGGCCGTGCCAGGGCTGCTCCAGAGCAAACTGAAAGCAGCTCTGGCAGGAAATGAGGCTTTGCTCCTAATTTTAGCCCTGACATCAGCGGGGTTATGTAACCTTCCCAAAGGCCTCAGCAGCAGCCAGGGCTGAGATTCCCCTTGCAGTTCCAGCTGAGGGCTCTGCACAAGCTGGGATTTAAATCTGGGGCTGAGCTGTGCCTTGGGGTGGGCACTTCCCTTGGCATCCCCCGTGGGCATCACAGGGATCTCCCCTGGGAGGAGGGTGAGGAGGAACCTGAGGGTTTGTGTGGCTGGGAGGTGAGAATCAGAGTAAAACTGGGTTTATCTTCTCACTGAACTTGGACCTTGTGGGGTGTTTGTCCCTGCAGTGTGGGGACAGCCCTGTGTCCTGCGGTTCTGCAAGGCCTGGAGCTGGGCTGTGGGTGAGGATGGTGTGAGAGGAGCTCCCAGCCCTTGGGGGCAGCAATTCCTGTCCCTTCCTGAGCTCTCCCCTGCCAGGGACACAGATTTTAGTCACAGCCTGGGCAGTCAGGGCAGGCCTGAGCTGTGGGGGCCTGGCCTTGCTGGGAAAGGTCTCAGCATCCTGGAAGGGACTTGGGAGCCCATCCAGCCCCACCAGGGGCAGGGACAGCTTCCCCTGCCCAGCCTGGCCTTGGGCACTGCCAGGGAGCCTCCAGGGCTGCCCTGAGGGGTCCGGCTGGGCAGGGACCCCAGGGAGAGACCTGAGCAGGGAGAAACTGCAGGGAGAGAGGAACTTCTGGGGGATCTGAGCAGGGAAATGAATCCTGGGGGATCTGGGAATGGAACTGAGCCAGTTTGGATGCTGGGTCCTGGAGATCTGAGCAGGGAAATGAATCCTGGGGATCTGAGGAGGGAAACACTTCCTGGGGATCTGAGGAGGGAAATGCTTCCTGAGCACCTGGTACTGGAGCAGCCCCAGTTTGGGATCCTGGGGTCTGGGTGCTCTGGAATGGAGCAGTCCCAGTTTGGGTGCCCTGACACTGGAGCTGTCCCAGTTTGGGTGCTGGATCTGGGAGCAGCCCCAGTTTGGGTGCTCTGGAATGGAGCAGTCCCAGTTTGGGATCCTGGGGTTTGGGTGCTCTGGAATGGAGCAGCCCCAGTTTGGGATCCTGGGGTCTGGGTGCCCTGGCACTGGAGCTGTGCCACTCTGGGCATCGTGGTTGCCCTGCCTGGGCTGTGCCATGCTGGGGATGAAGCAGGCTCAGGGTGGGGGCAGTTCTGCAGCCCGGGGTGGGCAGGATGTCCCCAGAGCCCTGACCCTGTGCCCTTGTCTGCAGTGAGCGCCCCGGAGCCCCTGTGCTGTGGGAGGCCAGGCTGGCAGCGCTGCCCGGGTGTGGTGGCAGTGCTGAGGCTGCCCTGTGCCAGCCTGGGCACCCCACGGTGGCACCTGGCCTGCAAGGCACCTCCAGGACTCTTTGAGGACACTTTGGGGACACTTTGTCCCTGTCGCCCCACGCTGTCCTGGGGGCTGTGGGGACCCCCAGAATTCCTGGAGCGTGGGGAAGGGGGGGGGGGGGTGTTTTTCTGGGTTTGTTTTTGTTTTTCTGGGTTTGTTGCTGTTTAATAAAAGATTCCTTTTTTTAATTTTTTTTTTTTTTAAATTTTGTTGTGCTTTTGGACTGAGTTGGTGGCTGTGGCCACTCTGGAGATGGTTTTTGTTGGGGGTGGATTTCGTGAATGCTGAAGGATGGAGGGACAGAGCAAGGAAGGATCCATGGAAGGATCCACACTGGGCAGCTCCCTGCAATAATCTGAGAATCCTGGAATTTCCTGAGTGGGAAGGGACCCACTGGGATCATCAATCCAGCCCCTGGCCCTGCACAGACACCCCAAAATCTGAGCTTGGCCAGCCCTAGGGCAGTGCCAGCACTCTCTGGAGGAAGAACCTTTCCCAAAACCCAGTTTATTCCCAATTCCTGTCCCAAACTTGTCCTGTCCATGGATTCTGTGCTCCCTCCACGCTGACCCACAGCTCCTGCTCCCCCCGAAGCTGTCACAACCCTGGGGACGAGGAGGTGCCACCGTCCCTGTGCCCTGCCTGCTGTCCCTGCTGGTGGGGACAGAGCCTTGGCTTGGTCTGGAACGGCTCAGGTGGAGCTGCTGGGGGCAAAAATCACCTGGAGGGAAAAGGGACCCAGAGGCACAAAGGACCTGGAGGGAACAAAGCACCCGGAGGCACGAAGGACCTGGAGCTGTTGCTGGGCTGGTTCCCAGCTGGACTCGTGGCTGCTCCATGGAATTGCTGCCATTCCCCCAAAACTGAGGTGGAAAACTCCTCCTTCCCTCCCCACAGAGGATTCTCAGCCCCACGGCTCTGGGGTCAGGGAGAGGATCCCCCCCAGCCCTGCCCTGATCCCAGGAACCGAGGACACCCCAAACTCTGCCAGGAACGTTTGTTCCCTTCCCACCTCTGATGGCGTGACCTGAACCCCCGTGTATGTGGTGTGAGTGTCTGTCTGTCTGTCTGCCTATCTGTCTGTCTGTCCTTCCAGGCTGCTTTTCAGCAGTCGCTTAAAATATGGGCAGCAGATGCCACCGTCCCTTATTGCTTTTCACAATTCCTTCATCTCATGAGGTGGGACAGCCACCCGTGTTCTGGGACCAGGGGCTCGCTGGCTGAATGGCACAAGCATAGCTAAAGGATTTGGACTTTCTTCTTCGCAAATCTGGCCTCTGACTTCATCCCAGTCTCTTAGTTGAAAATTATCAAAAGATTTTTGTGAGTTTTCTAATTTTGGGATTAATGCTGGGGAATTTTCAGGGTTTGGTGTCTCTTTTTGGGTTGAGAAATCTGTCCCAGACACTGGGGGGACTCTGGGGCTGTTTGGGAACTGTTCTTTTTCGAAATTCTTTTGTGCTGGGATCAAAGGGTTGGCATTTGCAGGGGCAAAATAATTCTGTGTGCGGGGATGTGGCTGTGCGGATGAATCGTGACACAAAGTAGTCCCACTCGGTGCTAGGGGTGCGGAAGGCGAAAACGCGGAGGGATACCATCTGTTGGTTAAGGATACACGCAAGGCGCTGCCGTTTTCCCCTGCTGTGGTGCCGTGTATGGACCCAGTGGCGGCGGAAGCGGCATGCCCGGGCACAGGGGTGCCGGCTGTGGCCGGACAGCGGCACGCGGCGGCTCGGAACCGGGACCGGGCTGCACCAAAAAGCAGTGGGGGGTGGCGGCGGGGCCGTGGGGATAGAACCGCGCATGCGTGCGGCTGATCCCAGAAGCGGCGCTGTGGTTGGATGAGTCGGTGTGGAGCGATATCGCTGGTGCGGGGTTTGTAGCAACCGCGCATGCGTGGGTCGCATCACTATGGCAACGTGGGGACGCCCTGATGGCGGCGGGGGGGGGCGGGGGGTGCGGGAGGCGGCGGAGCTGCGGGAACGGGAGCCGGGGCTGCGGCTGCGGAACGGAACGCCGGGACGCCCGTGGTTGCAGGAGGCGGTGGAGCCGCGCCATCCAGCAGCTCTGAAGAGCGGGGCCGCGGTGGGGAAGGCGCGGCTCGGCCCCACGGGCGGCGGCGGAGCGGCCTCGTCAGCGGGAGATGATCCCGGGAGGCGGGAGGAGCGGCGTGGAGGCGGCGGGAGTCTGCTGCGGGGGGGGGGGCATGGCGGGCGCCGGGCCAGGCGGCGGCTCGGCCGCGGCGTGCAGCCGCTGGGGGCTGCGGTGGCTGCCGGCCCGGCGGGCAGGGGCGGTGCTGACGGGAGGCGGGGCTGGAGCGGCCGCAGGCACGGCAGAGGCTGCAGACCCCGGTGTAGGCGCCGCGGCGCCGGCACGGGGGGGCTGGAGCGGCCGCGGGCACGGCAGAGGCTGCAGACCCCGGTGTAGGCGCTGCGGCGCCGGCACGGGGGGGCTGGGCAGGCTGGGGCGCCCCGGTCCCAGCGCAAGCGGGGCCGTGCCGGGACCGGGGGATTGCGCCCAAACGCCGGCAGGGACGGGGTCAGCCATGGACGTGTGCGCTGCCACGGGGCCCGTGGGCAGCTCGGGGTGCGCTGCAGGCGCTTGGAACGCCGGGGGGGGGGGGGGCAGGCTCCCGCGGCAACGCGCACAGGGGGCGCTGGGGGCGCAGCGCGGCCACACCAGGCGCGCTCGGCACCGCAGATCCGGGAGCCGCAGGGAACGGCAAAGACGCAGCAGCGACGGGACCGGGCCGCCGCCGGCCCCGCTGTGTCGGCGGGGGGGGCGTGGGGGGGGCAGGAGCGGCCGCACTGGCAGCGGGGGGGAAGCGGCGGAGTCGGGGGCGGGGCCGCGGTGACGGCGGTGGGCGGGACTGAGGGGCGGGGCCCGCGGTAGCCGGGACGGCCGGGACCGACGGGACGGCAAAGGCGGGGCTGGTGGGAGGGGCGGGGGGCGGGGCTGCGGGTGCCGGAGCTGTGCGGTCAGCAGGGGGGCGTGTCCCGCTGGAGACTCGCGGCGGGAAGGGGCGGGCCCGCAGGAGGGGCGGAGCTCGGCGGGGCGGCTGCTGCAGGCAGCACCTGAGGGCTGGGACCGGCCCCGCGGCAGCCATGGCCCGGCAGGAGCTGCAATTAAAGGGTTTAAACACCTGCGTCCCAAAAGTCTCTGGCAAACACGGCTGAACGGCCAGCATTAGGGAAATTCATTAAATTCCATTCTATGAGGGCTAAAACTCCTGTTGTGGTACTTTACGGCAGTCGCGTTTTACAGCAGTCGCGCTTTACGGCGCCTTTTGCGACAGTCGCGCTTTACGGCACCTTTTACGACAGTCGCGCTTTACGACAGTTTTACGGCAGTCGCGCTTTACGGCACCTTTTACGACAGTCGCGCTTTACGGCACCTTTTACGACAGTTTTGCTTTACGGCACCTTTTACGACAGTTTTGCTTTACGACACCTTTTACGACAGTCGCGCTTTACGGCACCGTTTACGACAGTTCTGCTTTACGGCAGTTTTGCGACAGTCGCGCTTTACGGCACCTTTTACGACAGTCGCGCTTTACGGCACCTTTTACGACAGTTCTGCTTTACGGCACCTTTTACGACAGTCGCGCTTTACGGCACCTTTTACGACAGTTCTGCTTTACGGCACCTTTTACGACAGTCGCGCTTTACGGCACCTTTTACGACAGTTCTGCTTTACGGCACCTTTTACGACAGTCGCGCTTTACGGCACCTTTTACGACAGTTCTGCTTTACGGTACCTTTTACGACAGTTTTGCTTTACGGCACCTTTTGCGACAGTCGCGGTTTACGGCACCTTTACGACAGTCGCGCTTTACGGCAGTTTTACGACAGTTTTGCTTTACGGCACCTTTTACGACAGTCGCGCTTTACGGCACCTTTTACGACAGTTCTGCTTTACGGCACCTTTTACGACAGTCGCCTTTCCCAGCAGTTTTACGACAGTCGCGCTTTACGGCACTACCTTTTATGGAACTTTTACAGCACTTTACAGCACTTTACGGTTTTTATTTTGTTTTTCATTTATTTTTAAATTTTTTTTTAATTTCTTATTTAATTTTTATTTTTAATTTTTCTATTTTTAAAGCTTTTTATTTTTTTTACTTAATTTTTATTTAATTTATTTTTTAAGTTTTTCTATTCTTAAAGCTTTTTATTTTATTTTTTAATTTTATTTTTTATTTAATTTATATTTTTAATTTTTCTATTCATACAGCTTTTTATTTTATTTTTTAATTTTACTTTTTATTTATTTTTTAATTTTTTCTGTTTTTAAAGCTTTTTGTTTTATTTTTTATTTTATTTTTAATTTTATTTATTTTTTAATTTTTCTCTTTTTAAAGTTTTTTTTTTAAATTTTTTTTATTTAATTTATTTTTTAAATTTTTCTCTTTTTAAAGCTTTTTATTTTATTTTTAAATTTTATTTAATTTTTCTGTTTTTAAAGCTTTTTATTTTATTTTTTAATTTTATTTTTTATTTAATTTTTTTAAAAATTTTTCTGTTTTTAAAGCTTTTTATTTTATTTTTTAAATTTTATTTTTAATTTATTTTTTAAATTTTTCTCTTTTTAAAGCTTTCTATTTTTTAATTTTATTTTTTATTTAATTTATTTTTTAAATTTTTCTCTTTTTAAAGCTTTTTTTTTTATTTTATTTGGTGCTGTCCAGACCAACTCAAGCTGGTGATTGTGGTGGTGTTTGAGGGTCTTGCACTACCGTTTATGGAACTTTTAAGTCACTTTACAGCACTTTACAGTTTTTATTTTGTTTTTCATTTATTTTAAATTAATTTTATTATTTTAATTTTATTTAATTTTTATTTTAAATTTTTCTATTTTTAAATCATTTTATTTAATTTGGTGCTGCCCAAACCTGCTGTAGTGCATTTTTATACTTTGTAATACTTTGAAGTCATTTTGTTTTGTATCCCCATATTTTTCCCAAATGGTTTATCCCAAACTGTACCCCCCTCCCTT